CACCTGATCATCACTCAAGTTCACTTCCGAGAGTATTGATGAGTTGTACTGAGCCTCTTGTCGACGTAGTTATTATCAGACGTTTGAAATGTTTGAAAAGACTGTTATGATAGAAGGTTGGTGGCGTCATCATCGTTATTGGTTAGGCCAACAGGACCTACCACTTGAGAAACTCCGATTTCGGCTTGTCAGAGAATGGCATCATGAAAGAATAAGCTTTTTGGATTGGCGATAAATTTTTCGATTGGCTTTATCTGGTAACGAAGCCTGCTTTCTCTTATCATTTTTATGGATTGATTCCTTGCTTTTTTGAACTGTCTATGTGTTGTCGTCGCTAATTTATATTCCATTTAGTAGTGCATTCTGCGTCTCAGCATTCAAAGAGTTATGGAGAGGCGGATTTTCACAGGCTCAGTGTGCTCAAGCTGTACGCACAGTTGCTAGAAATAGCAAAGAGATTACAGCACTAGTTCAGCGGGTATGTCATACTTAATATGTTTGCAAGTCATGTCTCGGGACCACAAAAAAGCTCTGATAGACTTCCTCTACACTTGGAGGCCCGCAGAAAAAGGTCAGATGGACTTTTCGACAGTAGGGAATTACGAGATGGCTGGACAACAGAAACACCCTCTTCGACTAAGCTTACTCAATATATTTAAGGGAATTTGGTTTGGTTTCAAAACAACGCCCTTGATGATCTAGCATCACATGCCAATATGATTCAAGAGATCACGAAAAATCCTAGCACTAAGATTCATTCAGTTAAGACCCGTCTGACTCCATATGAAATATACTAGCTATTTTATTCGATCTTCGAAATAACTTCGTTCACTCTAGAAATCCCCGGAAAGGCGCATCACGAGGAATATCTTTATTCAAACTACGAGAATCAAACGATACTAAATACTGTTGACACCACGACATATACAGGAAATTGTCTCCCACCTACGGAGAGCTTTGTGGTCCTTCTAACTTACAACCTACTGTAGCACTGACTAATCCGCTGCGAAACGTCCTCACCGACACTCGTTAACGACAGCCATACCTTACAGATAACGTCATATGCTACACATCACAGATTTGAGTACGTATAGGCATTATATTTCCTATTATCTTATATTGAATGTTCAGAAACGTTGTTTGTATGAACAGGTAATCCCACGTTCCACTGTGACTGAGCGAAGGTGTAAATAAAGACCTACTCATTACTAGTCTTGTTTCTCCTATCAATGGCACGAGGGTTACTCATGGGCACGAAAGATTCACTATCCCGTCAACAACATTAGTTTCCCTCCTGTTGATTTGAACGAGTGGTTAGGAAACGAGTTTTCGCCCTACGAGTGCCAAGTTGATAAACGATCACCAAACACTGCAAGAGATATATTTGCTTGAATACGAATTTACGAAAACCTGCTCACTGGTTCTTCGTTATTGCAGATATCTTGATGCCAACAACTAACATATGCGAAAACTCAAGTAATTGCTTCCAGAAGCCATCCAAAGGTCAGAAATCATCAGCAGCCTCACACTGTCAAGTTGAGTTTACATTTGAGATAAGAGAATATATAAACTTGATTATTATGGAAAGGTAGACAGCTTATCATAGTTCTTTCCTAGTTAACTACAGTGAATACCTGGTCTTCTCTTGAACCAATTACTGAAAGTAAGGACACCACTTCCTTGAGCAACGCGTTCCAACAGTTCCAAGAGACTTGGCTCGAAAACTTGTGTGTCATTAGTATTTTGTTTGCTTTTGGATTCCGATATCATCTGCTACGTTCTATGATTTGTCCTGATCTTAAGAAGAAGAGGAAAGGATCTGCTAGGTACAAAATCATTCCTTAGTATTCAATGCATCAGAATCAGATCACCTTTTAATCTGCGGTAAAATAGAGTACAGGTACAAAACTCTTCAAGATGCTCCGTATATGGTAAACATCAAATTTCAAGAAATGAACGGGTAGCTGCCTCCTGTAACTTTCCCGAGATATCTGAGATGCTTTTTAAACAACAGATTGGAGCCTGAACGCAGTTTTCAAGTTTGCTTCTCACTAAGGTTCTATATACGATAGCGAACATACTTGTATCCAACTTCATGAACGTTCATTCTAAGCCAACAATGTTCTGAACAGAGTAGCTGTAACTGCATGGCAGTAGGCAGTCAAATAATCATATTGTTAATGATGCAGGATCATACATATAATAACTTCAATGAAAAGTAAATCCTGATCGAACTCAAATAATAAAAATACAAACAAAGAAGACTGAGAAACTTAAAAGATAGTTTTAGGAGTCCTGAGTGAAAACCGAAGTACAAGATAGGGAGAAAGATCAAACAATAACAGTAGTATCTGACAAAAAACGCATTGGGACGATTTTCAGGGCAATTCTTCTTATGAATCTTGATCGGGTAAAACATGTCAACTATTTGTAATTCCAGTCGATACCTGATCAGTATTATGGGCTGGTCGATTCAAGAGTTCCTTAAAGTGCTCTACCCACCTGTTTCGCCGTTCTTCAATGTTGGTGGTTACTTTGCCCTCCTTGCTTTTCACTGGTCGTTCTGGTTTACGATAATTTCCAGTGAGCTTCTTTGTTGCATCATACAGTTGTCTCATGTCTCCCTCTCTTGCAGCCTTTTCCGCCGTCATTGATAGATCCTCCACAAATTTACGTTCGTTGGTTCTGATGCTCTTCTTCACTTGCTTGTTTAATTCTGTGTATTCAGCCTGTGACTTGGCTGTTTCTGCTCTTGTTCGGCTGGTACTGATTGCCGCCATCTTGTTTCTTATTTCTTCAATCGTACGCAGCGAATCGACAGTGATCCATTCCTTGTGATGGTGCTTCTTGTGGCCCAAAACCACATGATATGTTAAAGTGATTGCTTCTTTTATCTCTTTCAAATTCCTCTCCATCTCTTACACGTACACCATCGATTTTTAGGACAGTAGAAATATTTGACTGAATTCAAATTCTTTTCTTCAAAGTAGCTGTTAAAAAGTTGTTTTATTTTGCAGATAGGAACAACGTCACTCAGCTTCTAATTCGTTTGTTTATCGGAAGCTTTTAATATTACTAAATGCTGAATGAATTTTGAGAATAGCTGAAAAGATATGTTGAACAAAAATCCTTTTCCGCAACTTCTGATCCGAATTTGATAAAAATAAAATCACAATAAGGGACGTATGAGTTTTGTTGTAATTAAAGTGATTGAGTTCAGATGGGTCTTTGGGTTAAAAAAAACCAGTGTAGTATTAACGTCACCAGAAGAGAAACTCATCCCAACTAAGACCACTTCGAAGAATTTCGGAGTAGGACCGGCTAATGTTCACAAAGTTCCTTATGGAATCAATGGAGACTTTTGTTCCACTAAAGGAAGACATTGCTCTTTTAGTCACTTCTCCAGATCCAAACTTGAAGAAAAATTCAGCTTTAGTGAGTTGTTCAAGACTTTAGTCATTATTAAGGGCCTATATATGTGTGGGCAGTGCTAACTGGTCACGTTCACTGTTAATTTCGTCTAGAGAGTTCAGTATTTTTGGTGTGTATGAGATGTGTTAGACGCCCTGTTTTTGATATTTTGAATTTCGACCTATTTAGAATCCTTAGCTGTTTCTAAGAAGAAGCTACTTACTTAGCATAAATGACAAGAGGTCTCTAGACAAACCTGTCACGAATGTGTGAGTGTGTCAGCAGGAAATCTGTTCTATCCAGCCATGAACAGTACCTAATACGTTGTTTTACGGGTATAGTCCCTTGATAACTGTTCCGAACTCTCGTCTTACAACTTCTGCTAGTTTCTCCTACAAAATTACACGACAACTATCATAGAGAAGACGAAGTAAGTTTTCTTAAATTTTTTTCACTAAGCTCCTCATGTGAGGTGTCAAGTCTGAATGACTCCCTTATAATTTCTTCCTCCGCTCAATAAACGTCTTTTCAGTCTTATATTTAAAATTCATCAGTTTAAATAAGCTGGTTTAAGCACATCAATAAATTAGCCTTGGAACGTTTACATATGCACTTTTTTCGACTTTGGACAAATAATCAGTCTTATCACTTATGAGTTTTCCTTCTGTTCGTGACAACCAATGGTATAAATAAATTAACTCCGTCGTGTCTAAATTAGTAGCTGATGCTTTTAGACTTCGATTTAGGAATTGGCTTAGTTATGGATTATTCCATATTGAGATTTCTCCCTCTGCATTTCTTATATTCACTAATAACCAGTTTTACCATTATTTCTCCCTTGAAAACTAAGTTTTTAGTTTTCATGCTGGCTAACAGTTGAGTAAACCCTAGATGCTGTTCCACAGATTTATGATATGGGATTTTAGTTACAAAACCGGTTGGCTCTTTAAAATGGTCCAGTAGCCTACTAACATGGTTATATCACAGATAATTAGTCATCTACCTAATCAAACAATCCGTTTGACTGTTAATAATATCACGTTTTTCCTCGCGTTTTTGAACTCTTAGAACTCCGGGATATTGCCCATTTTACGTTTATACAAGCCTTACACCTGATGGTTATACCAATGATTTTTTCGTTCTTTTGAGATTCCGTAATGTTTAGTGGAATTGTGGAACTATTCTCTTCCATGGTATTAGTACTGCTCTAATGATAGACCTAATCTTAAAATTATACATCTGTCATGATGTAACTGACTAATCTATAAGATCTTAAGTGGGAGTCACATCATTGTCTACACTGACTCATCGTATCGTGACAATCACCAATACATGATGGAGAACAAGCTTAAACTAGAGATAGAACAATATATTTAATATGAATAAAAGATATACGGTAACATTTAGTAGGGACCACGCCTGCATGGCTAAGCCATGCCGTCCGATCAACTCCAGTTGATTCAATTCACTGTTCCCGCCTTATCCATTGTTGGGTTTTTCTCCGCGGTAAGTTTTGAATATCTTTTTTCTTAAGTGTCTCGTGTTCATCTTTGATGATGTGGTTAAGGCCCAGTACACTACAGAATTACGTTTAGGCAAACAGTGATTCAGTAGATATAAAGTTTCTTCAGATATCCGGTAATAATCACTAGATAAAATGATAAACATACAGTGACAGAAATAAAAATCCATTAGCCAAAATTCGGATGAGCATATGTTGGCCTTAAAACATGTCATACTCACACCTACTTCCATGAGTAATCGCAACTCTCCCATCTTAGAAATCCTGGACAGCTGACTGATTTTTCCGCAAACGTACTAGGTCGCTTTCTGTGAATGCGGCCAGAGTTTCCTAGACAACTTTCAAATAGTGGATTGGAGGAAATGATCCGCTGTACTATTTTCTCCCACTTTTTATGTTTTGTTTACCATGTATATACAATTAATGGATTTAAATTTTTGCCAGAATGACTATGTTGCTCAGCTTGATAGGCAAACTACCTTATTTTTTGTGAATGTGATCGGTATCCTTAGGGGATTGGTGGATAATATTAATCTGTTTTATCGTCCCTGAGGTCATGGGGAAACATTTTAGTAACAGTAGGTTCAAGGATGAGGATGAAACAACCACGCCGGTCCATTGTGTGCAATTAACTGGTGCGCACTAATTATCTTTGACTTTGGCGAGGATCAGTGGACGATTTGATACCCAGTGACCCGACTGCCAGATGATTTTGATATGGCTCACTGATATTTCACTGGCCCTACAATACTCTTCTACCAGATTCAACGACTGTTCGAATCGGTACCAAACACGTAGAGGGTAATAGTGTGACAGAGGTTGTCAAACTATGATGAGATTTCCTTGGGTATTGTGACCTGTAACATGAACTGAAAGGAAGTGGCAGACAGTGACCGGGAAATAGCGAGTAATAATCAGTCTGAGAATGTTGGATCTACTCATGTGCTTAAAATTACGACTTACAAATAAACAATGACAGTAATAAAAATCTGTCATTTTCCCGTCCTATAAAGCAGTATTGAAATACATTGGGTTGACATGTGATTGAGTTCAGTCTTCCGCAAAAGTAATGATAATAGAGTAGTAGTATGATAATCGTATTTCCAATTGATGCACATATTGGTATAGTGATTAACTTAAACAGAAAGTCAGTCCATGTTGTTGATGGCTTACTGCTTGCAAGTGTCCGATTCTATTTGTATTTATAATTGGCAGATTAACTGGAAGGACAGAAGTATAACAGTAAAGAGAATTCATGTTTTTGACGTCATCGTACGTCGTGTCTGGTTTGCCAATTAATCACGAAGTTACTGATCACTTCGTAGTCAGAGTCTGAAAAATTGATGATCATTTATTTATTCATTTATTGGCTTTATTCAATATTATATTTTGGTACAATATAGAATTCTCAGCACAGGGTATCTCAACAAGTTTCTTACACACAAAAACAATAACAAAGACAAGAAAAGGAATAAAAATGTTTAAAAAAACCGAGAAACTGTACAGCTTTACAAATTAGAGACATGTTAAGAATCCAGGTTATTGACTTGGTTAACTCTAACAACATATTCATCACAGAGTATATTTGCTAGGTAAGGTATTATAGAACTTTTACACTTCTGCTTACGCGCATGGATTTTAATGTAAATACGTCTCGTTCTATCAGGAGATATACAAGGAGAAAGATAAGAGTGAAGGGGATGGTTAATATCTGATAAAATAACACCTACCAGGAGTGTGTATCCACAACTATATTAATTATGACCTCGAAAGATTCACCACACATCTTGCTAACTGCCTTCAACACTCTCAGCAATACAGCAAAGTCTTTACTCAAAAGCCTGGAAAAGAATAATGGAGAACAGTAAATAATAGGTAATATGCAAGAATTGACAAATTGTAAGAGTAAATGACGAGTAATCCCAAGAGCATGCAATCTTTCTATGTAGTGAGTCAGACGGAAAACCTTCTTCGATAACAATAAAACGTGGGAAGACCAAGAGAGATCAGAGGAAAAGGTAACACTAAGATGATTGACCTTCGACACTGTGTTTATCAAAGAGTCTCCAATGGCACAAGCATTATTGGATCTCAAAATGGTGTTTAGGTTTCGTTCATGTCTAGTGCTAAAGTTAACAGCTTGACATTTAGACGAATTAAGTGTGAGACCATTACCAACAGACCAACAATCAATACAAGACAAAAACTCATCCATTCCTATGGGATGTAAGGAGGAAGAGATAGGCATACATACAGTGAGATCATCCGCGTATTTCACAAAAGTGTTCTCTGTGGAAGATGGTAGATCATTCAGGAAAAAAAGAGCAAAGAAGAGGTGAAAGAACAGCTCCTTGTAGTACATGTACACCTTCATGAGACAGCAGAGACTCTGAACACTTTCCTCCAAACACAGTGTACTCCTCCCTTCCAGAGAGGTAGGAACATAGCCAGTTGGTTATCCAGCTGTCAGCGTTGACGCTGATTAACTTGTTAATTAAACTTTGTCTTGGTATAGAATCGAAAGCTGAAGTATAGTCCGGGAAAGCCCATCGAACATACTTCTTACCCTTTTCTAAGTTGAAAACTATATTGTGTAACAGAACAACAACAGCATCTTAGGTGATTCTTTTGCATCTGTAAGCAAACTGATACGCATCAATATGCTCTTTTATTGTAGGCTGAAGTGGAAGTATTAATAATTTTTCCATTGTATTGAGGAAGGGTTAAGTTATTGCAATATGTCTAAATTTAATATTCTTATCACCAGATACTTTCTTTGGTACAGGAATTATCTTCATCTTTCTGCACATTTTCTGTATGAGATTAGATGAGAAGGATCTGTTAAAGATAGTTGTGAACGGCTAACATAGGACGTCAGCACACTTTTTAAAAAGGAGGTTTGGGATACCATCAGGTTCCAAACATCGAGATGAATTAAGTGACAGGCGACATCTTCGTACATCAGTTTCAGTGAGAGTAGGAACACATCTATTATTTAAACCTGTGGATAGAGGGAGCATCACATCAGATGACTGACATACAAAAGACTTATTTAAGTCACAAATATACAGCTGGTTATCGCTCCTAAACTGTCTGTCACCTGTAAGTTCTTTAAAGAGTTTCCACATACTTGGAGAGCTTTTACAAGACAAGAGTTTTTGAGTAAACATACAGTTGAGACGTCTAATCTCTAGGTTTATCAGCCCATTTAGCTTACAAACTTCATTAGAGTTCTTCTCCTTGTACATGTTTCCTTTCACCCTCCGTAGTCGTTTTAGTTGTGAAGATGTAAGTCGATCAAAACTTACAAAAATGGTTTCAGTGGGACAAGAAATATCAAAACAGAATTTAAGGTAACAAGTGGTAACATCGATAGTGATTTCCAATGATTTATCTGTAAATAATTCCCAGTATGAAACATGTTTTTCATATTTCGGATATTCTCTTCTTAGTAATTCCCATATTTTACTTTCTTGGTTTGATTTAAGAGTGTACTCTTCCCATGCTTTACATATACTTTAGGTAGAACACGAATTATACAGTGATCCGAGCTAGACAATGGAGCTGGTTCACGAGTCGCATATATACCCACATCATTAATGAAAACGAAGTCTAAATGAGCGTCCAAACGGGTAGGAAAATCTACTACATTTTGGTGACCTAGTAACGTAAGGAAGCTACAGTCACATGAATTGAAATCACCATATACAACTGAAAGTGAATCACTGAAGGCAGTAACAGCGAACTCAGTGAATTCATCAGCGAAAACAGATAGCGCAGATGATGTGCAGTCTGGAGTCACGTAGATATTGGAAACATAAACATATTTGTATTTATTCAGATGTTTTGGACGACATCTTAGAGTTAGACAGTCGATAAAGTCATTCGGAAACTTAAAACACACAAGCGAAGATCGACACCAGTTTACGTTTACAAACGTAGCTACACCACCACCACACCTCTTTTTATTGTTTGATCGATCCTGACGATAAATTTCGAAATCACGTACTAATACTAGGCAGTCGTCTTGTAAATCATTTAACCAAGATTCTTGAATAGTGATGACACCACAATTACGATACATATTTTGACTTAGTAGGAATTGCAGATAGTCGATTTGGTTGATTAGTGGTCGGTAGTTAGGATTTAGAAGCTCGGAAATCGACATACGATTGATGTTCGTTCACTTTAACGCATATTGCCGACCACCACGATGTCTTTTATAGTACTTTTTCGTAACTTGTGCAGCGAAAGATCGTAGGCTTTTCATAAAAGCGCCTGAATAGGTTATGCGATTAATGGACATAATGATAAGTTAAAACGAATGAAAAAACAGATAACTTGTTGAAATAATTAGATGTCAGGAACAGGTAGCCCATATATTCAAGCAGGCCGCCGTATATATTGCTGTTACAGTCGGCAAGGGTCGATGACTACGGGTCAAGGGTGACGGTAATATGATGAGTTTTTTTCTACAGGATGATAAACGGCGAGAAAGCACTTAAGAAACCAAAAGTGTCACTGTGTACTTATGTCAATGATATCGGTGAAAAATGCTGTCACTGTTGGGATAGAGGCGGTAATGTTGTTTCTAGTTTGCAGGAGATTTGCTCAACATCGTAATTTGATGATTCTTGCGAATGTTTGTGTCGTCAGAACACCAATCGAACTGGACAGCATTTAAATAGTCGAGTATTTGAAAAGCCGGTTGATGTGCCAAAATCATCTGGTAGATAACAGCTGCGAAAAAGCAATACTCCGTAGGATATGGAGAGTACGAAGCCGAAGTAGAATAATTATAGTAGTTTGAATGTATCACAATGTCACGAAGAGACAACACCGTCCTTATATGTATTGATAGCTGCTATGAACTTTCCTTTGGGTATTATTAGTTTGACCGTTGGATGAGTGAGTACAAAAATGTATGAAGACTATGGTGCAGTTCGTGCAGAATTCTGGAGACCATTTAGGCATTGCCGAACCCGTATTGCATGTAAATAAATCGAAAACAGAACTACAGTGACTTAAGTGTAGTCAGAAAGTCGAGTCGTGGTATACTGAGTGAGATAGCAGCAAATGCAAAGCGTATGGTAAACATCAGCAAAAACGGTGATTATCAATGCGCCAAAGGCTTAGAGACTGTAAGGAACGTAACCATTAATAAGATGCTGATGCTGGGACTCAGTGACATCTAACTGGTCCTACCCTTCTGATGTGGTGTGTAATTATTCCAAGTTCATTACATTAAATCCGGCAAGTAAACTAAAACCACTAATGATTAACAGTTGTTTAACACATTATGGTGAGGTTAACTCACAAAACGGTTATGAAATTGTTCGTGTTTCACGATTCTTGGAGTTGTTATAATGCATAAAATCAAGAGTGCATTGTTAATTTGTGAAATCGTTTGATTTGTTTCAAAGGCGGTAATTCAGTCGTCCGTGGTGTCATGCAGGTTTTGACATTTACTTTTCGTTTCTTTTGTCTTTTTTGACTTTTTCCTCCCTCATAACACCATTACTAAGCAAAAGGAGAACCTGAATAGAGCAAAGACCTGGGGGAGGTTTTTTGTATTCTCAATTTTTGGAAGCTGGTGTTACAAACTAAATGTTTTTCAGTGACCATAGAAAGTCTTGTAAATTAGCATTAATTATGAGACTAGTTGAGTAGTACGAAAGTAAGTTTGAGGGACTATTTCATCTACAGTACACCATTTTTACGTCGTCCGCTAAACAGCATTGGAGATCTGTTGTCGACCTAAATATTCTTCCACCGTTAGTGAATAGCGATCACGCTGTTTTGTCATTCGCGTTTAGAACTAGGGACATGTTATACGATCAGGTTACACCTCGCCCAAATGTGTGGAAAGCTAACATATCAGCCATTCAGGAATGCTCTGCTAAGACGGGTTGGTTTGTAGATACTAGCTTATCAGTTGAAGAAGCATGGTCTATATTTAAAGGTAAGTTTAGTCTAGTTACGTCCTCGTTCATACCGTGCCTAGTGCCACGAAGACCAAATAACAATCCACCATGGATAACTAAACCAGTCAGGAAACTTCTTAGGAAAAGGAAGAAGCACTGGAATTTGTTCATCTTTACTATTTATTTATTTATTTGAACACATGAATATTGGTACAAGAGAGCGCCAATATATATGCGCCACACAAAACAATGTGAATTCGAAGAGAAATAGAAAAAAAGCTAAGGAGCGTAAAAAAAAGAGAACAGTAACGAGGAGATTGGTGTAAGGTAATATGGTAGAAATGAGGGAACGGAAAGGTACAATCAGAAGAAATCTTTCAGGTAAGGGAGACACAACCACTTTTTATGAAGAAAGTAGAAGAAGGTTACAGCAGGATCGCCACTGGCTTCTATTCTGAGCCATATCTGATAACGTCTCTAGCCACTGTGTTGCACCATCTCTCAGACCCCTAACAGGGAGTCGTGAAGGACCAACACAAGCCAGTCCTTTGCAGCTTTCTTTCATACCACGACACCATGTCATACACTGAACACCTCTCCGCTTTCTCCAACCAGTCCCAGAGTCAGCAAATAATGCACGACGTGGAATTCTCTGGGACGACATTCGGAGAACATGTCCAAGCCACCGAAGTCGGTGTTTCAAGATGGTGACACCAATTGAATTATCATCTCTGTGCCCGAACACACGATGCTGAACCTCTGCATTACTAACATGATGTTGCCACTGGATGTCAGCAATCCTTCGGAGACAGCGATGATCGAACACAGAGAGTCGTCTAACGTCCTCAACTCGGAGAGACCAGGTTTCACAAGCATAGAGTAAAACTGCTCCCACCGACGCGTTGTAGATCCGATCTTTTACAGCTAGACTAACATCACGAAGGCGCCAAAGATGGCCCAGATTGGCATAAGCCGCTCTGGCTTTCACTATACGTGCATTGATCTCATCACTCACGCCACCACCAGCACTACCTAGATACGCGAATTTCTTGACTACTTCTATCTGCTCACCATCCACGGTGAGTACAGGAATAGAATCCTATCAGTCTTGTAGAAGTACTTTGCACATCGAGGGTGCAAAGCACATACCCATACTTACGGACACTGATTGCCAACTGATTAAGTGCGGATCGCGTGTCTTGGGCATTATCGCACATTAAGACAATATCGTCCGCATACTCAAGGTCGAGAAGTCTTTCTCCAGGCAACAGATCCACACCACCATTACTTACATTCATCAGAGCTGTTTCCAGAATGTCGTCGATGGCAAAGTTGAAGAGGAATGGTGAGATTAAGCAACCCTGTCTAACCCCACTGCTCGAATGGAACAATAAAGAAAGGTGGTTGTATGCCCTCACTCTGCCTGAGGTGTTTGTATATAGGGCCTTTAAGATGTTGATGAACTTCTCAGGCACACCCTTCTTCAATAGACATTTCCAGAAAACAGTCCTGTCCAACGAATCGAAGGCAGCCGTGATGTCAAGAAACACTACGATTGTTGGCCTTTGATAAGTATGACAGTGTTCTAACATTTGGCGGAGGGTGAAGATATGATCAACACATCCTCGACCAGAACGAAACCCAGCCTGCTCCTCGCGAGTCAATCTTTCTCGGGTTTTGAACAACCTACGAAGTATGACGGAAGCTAATAGCTTGGACGTAGTCGGAAGTAAACTTATCCCCCGATAGTTGTTACAGGGACGACGTGAACCCTTTATAAAGATAGGGACAACTATCGACTCATTCCATGACGTTGGTACACTCTCTAGTTCCCAAACCTTTGTAAACAACATCGTCAATTCCTTAGTCAAAAAGTCACCACCATCTTTAAAAAGAGCCGGAGGTAAGTCATCTGGACCAGGTGATTTGTAACGCTTTAAGAGTTGGAGTTCCTTGCGGACTTCTTCCTCGTTTGGTGGATCAGTCGTCACCGGCCATGGAGGGCAGGACAGTCTGACCGATGTTGCCGGAGCAGCAGGCCAGTTGAACTGCCCTTCGAAGAATTCTGCCCATCGTCCAAGACGTTGGTGGATGTTAGTGATTGGCATCCTGTCATCATCACAGATTGCTTCGCTCACACCAGACTTCTTGCTGCCAGTGGCTCGGATGAGTTGGAAGAGCTTCCGGTAGTTACCAAATGCAGCTGCTGCTTCCAGCTCATTAGCACGCTCCGACCACCAGGCTTCTCGGTCCTTAAGCAAGCTTTGCCCAATTCCATTACGTAACATCCTTCGTTTATGGTCAAACTCACGGTCACCCGGAGTAGACCGGCGGGCTTCAATGAGTTGTAGGGAGCCTACTGGCTTAGAACAATACAGATCCAGTTATTGTAAGATTAGGAATACGTGTAAAGCCTTAATAAGTAAGACTAGACTATCATACGAAAAACAATTGGTTAGGCATTCTAGATATATAGTCCGAAACGGTTATTCTCGTATATAAAAAGGCGAACTCAAAGAAGCGATGGGATTTCATCACTTTTGATACAAGAAAATCCGTTAATCTTGGCAAAGAATGATGCCGAAAAAGCTGAAGCTTTATCGAAATATTTTAATAAAGTATTTTCTGTCGGTAATGAGGAACAACCAACGATTCGTCGTGAACGTGACGGCTCGCTGATGGATCCTGTAGTCATTAAGAAAGGTACTGTTTTAAGGCTACTTTAGCATCTCAAACCTGATAAGTCCAGTGGTCCTGATGATATTCATCCTAGGATTATGAAAGCCATATCAGATGAAATTGCTGAACCATTAACGATACTATTTGACATGTCTCTGAGACAGTCCAGACTGCCTAGAGACTGGAAAGACGCTATAATAAGTCCGGTGTATAATGCTGGGAGTAGGGATTTAGTTAGTAACTATAGACCTGTTAGCTTAACTAGTGCAGTTGTAAAACTGATAGAGAAAATCATTCGGATATCCGTTCTAAACTATGTTGAAGGGCATAATCTTTTCTCCAGGGCAAAACATGGTTTTCGGAAAAGCCTATCTTGCTTGACAAATCTTCTCATTGCAAAAGAAGGTTGGGCTGCTGCAGAGACGACGAAGAGGCAACGACGAGTGTCTCTATCTTTCCGAGTCCTTACTGTTCCGTTTAGTCGAACAACGCACAGATGACTGTCTACTGGGATCCAGTCTAAGAGAGCTAGTTCTGCCTTAGGACTCAATGCCATACCTACGCCGGCGAGGCCACGAGAAGCAGCATCAGGGCTTCCAGATACACGAAGTGTGAATCGAGTTGGTTCTTTATTTTGACATGGTGATGTCAAATGAATGACGCTACTCGGATCCTGTATGCGCGTTTTGGAGACGCAGCACACATCGATGGCTCGAGATTCTAAAGTCCTATCTAAGAAAGTCCGTTGTCCTATTTTGGCACAGTGTTTGGACGTTAAAAGCTCCTACGTGTAGTTTAAAGCGTGGTTTCATGAGACCAGGAATAACGTTCCGCGTACTCGAATCGTTTGCCCTAGCGGTGCGAGGTGATAAAGGGACGTGAGAAGGATTAGTCGTGGAGATAAGAGAGGTATTGGGAGGTGTATGAAGGATTTGAATGTGACTAACTTGGTCTCGTGTGCTGTTACGGGTATGAGGGCTGATGTTCCTTCCCGGCTGCCCACAACGTGAAAGGAGGATCATTGACTAGTATTGCAATTAACAGTCTGTCACATAAAAAAATTTGATTTTAACATTTTCTGCTTTCCATCCATGCAATGTTTTTTAAAGATTCTCTATATTGTATTACTTCTCTTATGTTCAAAGTCTTGGTACTTAGTGAAGGTAGATCCTATTTTTACAGGACTGACATCAAATACAATCAGTAGCTACCTTACTTTCTCTATCGCTGTCTTTAGTATCTTGTGTGTAAATTATTAATGCAGTGTAAAGTTGCTTGTCCCACATTAAACAAAAGTTATTTTAATTAATCATTTGTTTTTATCCCTTTTCATTTCATTATAATTTTTTTCAGTTACCTTCAATACATTTCGATTTGTCAATGTTCATAAATCGCTCTAGTAAATAAACCATGACACAAGACGATATGATATATACAATAATACTTATATTGTCCCTGGTTACTGGGCCATTAGTCCAAAAATGTGGGAAATATCGACCTTGGTTCGCGGCTGTTGTAGGGTTTCTTATGTTTTTCTGTTTTGCGGGACAAGCTGTATGGCATTCACTCCTGACATCGTCTGTATTCACATTGGCCTTTATTCTTTTTCCTGCAAGGTAGGCTGTTTAATCTTGATAATAATTATTATCTTAAGATTTTTGCATTACGTAGCTGTTGTATGGTGCTTTGGTTATTTGGGATTTTTTCGAACTTGTCACTATTTCGGATTCTCTCAGGTTACTCCTGTCGCAAATATTGTGCAGCTTTTATTGACCTTACGTGTACGTATTTTCATGTGTTTATTGATTTATAATCAGTTAATAGGTGCATCATTTGAAATAAGTGATAGTTGGCGAATAAACAATCAATTACAACATTCTGATTTGCACCCACAGGATAAAAGCAAACTTGAACTTCTAAAAAAATATAAATGTATCGAGCCTTCTCCAATGATGATTATGTTGTATGCCTATTGCTATATTGGTTTGTTTACAGGTAAGAAGTTTTATTTGTGCTTAATTAAATTTAGCATAAATATGATAAAACGTGTTTCTCGGTTTTTCAGTTCTAATGTTCATATGCACGCTTCTGCTAAGCCAACCACTTTTATATATTGTTAATGTAGAACTTAGTATTTTAGGAACTTTACTATTGACCACTGGATCACCGGTTTATTAATTACTGACTTTCAATCTAGGCGTATGCTCAATATTTCTAGCTCTTGTACAAGAAGTATTTAATGCAATTTTCAACCGGACAGTGACTCGAAAACGTTTAGACACAGTCGAATTTCCATCAAAGACGAGCCGCTGTATAAGTATTTAATGCACAAGCTTGGATATATTGTGATATTGTAATCAACCAACTATTAAGCACCTAATTTCTTGAGATTCTTCCAGGTTGAGGTGTTAATGACCAAATGAAACTAATGGACGTCGATGAATTGACTCAAACAGATGCCGTGTGTTAATAATACCGGCTATCTTGAACTAATGGAACATATCCTATAGATTCAAGTTCGAAAGTTGTGGATACGAAAAGTGAGTATACAATTAGTACCGAATTTACCAGTATGATGTTGTATTTCGTCGAATTAATGAAACGATCTCAGTCGAACCACCACTAGAAATCTGGAAGCACTAAACAGTCACTTCGTCCCAGTGCGAGACTCCTCAGTAGTACGTGTTTACGATCGCGTATGCGGGAATCAAACCGAATATCCTCGGTCTCGCACTGCAATATCTTAGGAAATTTTAGCATATATGTTTGTATTATTTTCAAGAAACACTTTACGAAACTCGTTATATTTGTTTTAGGTCCATATTACAATCTGAAAACGTTTGAAGACTTTTGCAACCGGGATCCTGAAACCGTAATAACTGCAGAAGAACCTCTTCTTCAACACCTTCAAGAAGCACCTCCATTCGGTGTAGCTTATTTAATACTTTCTCACTTTTATACTGTTGATGTAAGTGTTTAGTGTTACGATATACGATCGCCGATTATATTTGCTATCTCACTGATAAGGTTTTACATAATAATGACGTAAACATCTTATTCGCCATAAAGTGGTGCAACTCTGTGACTAAATAAAGGTTCATGAGGCATGGTTTAAGCCGTATTTTTTGTTTATGATTTGATGATATTATTTGGCTATCCAAACTCTGAAATAGATAGTGCGAAGTTTGACATATCAGTCCAGTAGTCGAGAATCGATTTATCTCACTACTAATCCACGGCTCCATCCATTAGACGACAAGGAGTATCTAGTAAGTTGAGGTGTGTGTGTGTGTTTAGTGCACGTCTCTCATTTACATACCTACAGCTTCTTCAAAGCTTATCTACATTAGCTTATGGTTTAACAATAAGCCTCCCTGTAGTTAAACCTGTTCACTACTTCATGCTATTTGAAACGTCATACTTGTTGGATTTTATAAAAATGTAAAATTTGCCGACCAATAACTTAAATAAAAGACAAATCTTAGCTCTAGGTGTTAGGGAATTAACTGCGAACGTGTTTTAATTATCTATGTATACAAAGGTGATGCGTTAACTTTATCCTGTCTAAAAACACTCAATATTGCTTATAGTGTATAAATCATATCCATAATTATACCACTCAAAGCTTTATATTTTATCGTTTTATATATTCAGTAGGGATACTGTCTGACATGTCTGTATAACATTTTTAATCCTAACCCATTTTTACACCATTATTTTCAGTATGTACGCACTGCAGAATTCTATGATCGACATTTCCTGTATCGATTTTTTTATATGATGGTTATTTTCTTTACCTTCCGAATGCGAATTTATTTTGCTTGGAAAATGTCTGAGTGCGTGTGTATATCCGCTCGTTTAGGTGCATATCCTAAATTATCTGAACCTGAAAAAGGTGAAGGACCAACTAATCTGCATGCATTAGATTTGTAAGTTAATGGGGGATTTTTTGCTTTCTTTATTGGAATTTACACAAAATACATGTTTCATTTATTATATTCGTTATAAATTGACTTCAGATAGGGTAACATTAAAAACGAGAGACTATTGATCAACTGCTTTAACCTAGTTTAGGATTGCTCAGTAGTGTACATCTACGAGCCCACCAGGTGCGTCTGATAATCTTTGTTCGTCAATGATCATTAAAAAACTATCATGTTTCTGCCCGTTTTCACGATGTGTGTTTTGCAATTAAATGATCATGTTGATATTACTTAAATTAACCACTTAAGTAGATTTTAGACTTCAACAATAAATATATTTTTTGTCATATCTCAAGGAGTAGAAAAATTGTATTTCTGACGTTTCGTGGCTTAATGTAGGCCACTTCTTCAAAGTAAATAACCGAAATAAATTACTACAAGTATAAATAGTACAAAGAAAACAATGCAGAATATTTTTATTACAATCAAACTCATAATAGGTCTGAATATGTCGAAGTCAATTTATTCTTAGTCAAGGTGAATTTGTATGGCATGTCACCATTAATTTGTACGTCAGAATTTGGGTATGAAAAGTGTATACATTTGTAATATGAAGTGGTGAGGTTGAGATTGTGTGGAAAATAAATAAGATCAAATGTGATTGTTTGGACAAATAGTTCAGGTTGGATCAATATTCAGGCCTTTCCTATTAAGGACGGAGGGATTTAGGATTATGTGAAACGCTTTAGCTACTCGCCTCTTTTTATATTTGGGAAAACCTGGGTTATTTTGATATTTGTAATATCAACTTGGTGATTATTGGAAATAGCATGTACTGCTATTGATGATTTAACCCGTAAAGTTCACAGTTCTACAGGATTATTAAGCCTTTCTATGTAACTTGAGTATCCCTTGGCACGAGTCGAGATCTCGGGAACTCTTCAATGTAGAACGCCTCGCAATCGGCACAACCTAATCTGTAGACAATTTTGTGTAGAGGTGAACGGGATTTTATCTTTAACTCAAATAGAGCGTTTCTTAGAATGTTAGTTGTCTAATAGAAAGCTTTAATTCTGTATGTTTTTGATATCCGTTGTAATTATTCCGTCATACTTTGGCGGTAAGGTAAAACCACAGTACCAATCCAAGATCATTCATCAGGATTGATTTTTACAGAAGGATAGTTTTGTTTTAATATGTTTTTAAGAATATTTTTAGAAAAGTTAATCGTAAGATGTTTATTATATTCTCTTTTTCTCTCAGCTTGTCTTCTGAGGTAATGATCTTGGTCGCTCTTCTGAAAAGATTTAGGGCTAGGGTAATTTTCTCACTGGATGAGTGCGCACAGTTAACATCAATATGCCGATTTGAATTTGTTGGTTTTCGGTATATAGCTAGATTTAGACTACCATTGGAATTCCTTTTAACTAGACAGTCTGAGAATAGTAGTTCATTATATTCGTCTTCCTTTTCGAAAGTGAATTTGATATGTTCTGAGAGCGTGTTTATGTGTTTGGAGAAATTTCTGAGATTATTTTTAATAATGACAAAGTGTCATCTTTATATTTGAGCCACGTGCATGGATTGATAGTGCTGGCAAAAATAAGCGACTCACTGTGGGACATAAATAAATTTGTAACAATCAGAGATACTGAAGATCCCATTGCTTTAGTTCTTTCAGAAGTGCACTTGTCTCTGATGCAACTTTATTTTTAAACACTTGAACATTTTTCGAATCGATCTTTAAATATAGTCCCGTTGATAAACGATTAGTAGCTTTTTCTTCATAGTCGTTTTTGTTCATGACCACTGTTGTATCACCTTAGTCAGTTTCAGTAATGACAATCGTTTCATTGCAACTACCCTTGTAACCTGTTTTGAAGCACTCCCGGTTGAATGCACTGGATGTTCGTCTACCGACCTTAATATGAGGTTTTAACTGTGTTTGTATTTTGTAATGAACATTATTCGTATACACAATTTTGCTTCCACACATTTTTATAGTAAACCTTGGTCAACCGATCAGAAAGATTGCGTATAGCCATTTGTCAGATCAATGTCTTTCATCTTGTTATCACACTAAAGTGCTTCTATTTCAGTATCGTATTAATCGTGCCAATATCGTCTGAGATTAACGAAATGAATCTTCACAATGAGTAAGACATAGTGTTCGTTCTGTTCTCTTACCATCTTATCTTGTTATATCCACTGGGAACGTCTAGTTGATTTACAATTAAAATGAGTGAACAATCATTCGAATAGTCACAATGTTATTGTTCACCCCCCCAAATGCCCTGGTACGGCCGATAGTGGAGAGAGTCCGTTCTCCCTCTCGAAATGCTCCCACATGGCCACGCGTATATAGCCTATGCCAGGGAAGTCCTACTCACTGCCTTCTCGTTGCATTACTGTTGTTTACGAAATTGAGAGGACGAAAATCGAATGTCCGGCGCTTTAACCGTGTTGGTGGACATGGAGAACCCACCCACGGGAGTTGGAAAACCCTGATTCCAAACCAATGGTGCACAAAGGCTCCAGTATCCTGAAGGAACAAATGGCGTATGAACCGATCGTTGCTCACCGGCTACCATGGGATTGCATCTCCTTACGGTACTCCACTGCCTTGTGGATCAGCCCTTCAGGTCGAAGGTTCCGGGTGTGACCCCCTGAGAAAACCACCTGCTTCGGTTTGGGCACCTTGGCAGTATCACAGCCTTCACAAATAGAATGATTTATGTGGCGCATATCTATTTGGTGCCCCCTTGTATCAGTATTTGTGTGTTCAAATAAATAAATAAACCCTCTCTCCTAGAAATGAATCTGAGACAAAAGTGAGCATAATTAAAAATCACCCAGTTCATAACTAATTGGTCTTAAAAAGTTTTCAGTGATTATTGAACATTGAATTCAGGACTTCGGCAATCCATTATTCTGTTGTTTACTACAACAGTTTCGTTTTTGTAAGAGTTAGTGTTGTTCGTATTTCCAGTCTTCCTCTGGTATTAAATTCTCGGTTTTAGGATTTCATTGTAAGCGTTTTACCTGTCAACACTGGTCACACCTCAGTAACTGAATCATTCAAACGTAACGATTTTACATTGATAAACATTTGTTTGAATTCAAAAGAACAATTTAAACTATTGTTTATTTAATTTTATTATATTGCGAATTGTCACATTAGATACATGGAACAACAGGCAGCCAATGATGTGAAATTAAACAGCGTTATAAACCAGCCCAATCATCTTCATCGTCATCAAACTTCTGACCCTGTCAATTCTGTTATTCATTCCACACTAAAAAATAAACCGAATTTTGAAATGAAGTCAGAGACAAATGTAGTATATAATTATAATACAATATCCAACTTAAGTATATGGGGATGTGAATTCGCTCCTACAGTACGTGAATCGATGAAATCGTGGAATTGTTCGGTGCAATTTTGGTTGGCCAATTATTTTTATAGACGTTGCAAAGCTTCACGAAATATACGGCAAGTGATTCATTTGGGCGATTCATTCTATTTTTTAATCCCTTATCTATTAAGGAACTCAATTGATGCCCGAGTATTTTGTATTAGTAATTTGTTTGGAATTTTCTTCCTAATGAATTCATTATGCTTTGCGAATAAGTCATATGTTCTATTAAGGCTTAATAATACTGTTTAATCACACGAACCAAAATAATTGATGGGGTGTCTAGACCTGTTAGGGATTGATAATTTCTACCATTTATATAAAGCTTTTTGGTTGTGGTCCAAAATTATTATTCAACAATCTAACGATTTGGACACCATTTAGTCTTGTTTTTTGATATATAATGCCTGTGTCAATTATTCTTTTCATTCATTCTTTTTATTATGTAAATTTCTACAGGACATTATGGACAATGATGGTTAGTGCCTATTGGCATGGTTTACATGCAGGTTATTATTTATCCTTTCTGGTCATCCCACTTGCATTAGTTGGTGAGACAAGTCTAAAAAATTTAATGAATTTATGCGCAAATAGTCTACCAACTGGTAGTGTATCATTTATTTCATGGTTATTAAAAATGCGTGTCTTTGAATATTGTTGTATGGGGTTTTTATTATTAGACTGGGAGACTACCATTGCTTATTGGTCCAGTATTTATTTTTGTATTCATATAGTTTTAATTGGATTGATTATTTTCGACTATTTTCTACGACTTATATTACCAGCTAAAGCATTTAAAATTGTATCTTCATTAGATTCATCTACTGTTTCATCATTATCATCTGATATGTTTGTTGTTAATAATGACACAGTTGGTGATCGATCATCAACGCTTCATTCTCATCATCGTCCTAATTATAAATCAAAAATGTAAATTATTGCATCTACATATATTACATAAAAATCTTTAACTATAATTTGATAATTATTGAACAATGAAAATAGCATTTTGTGTTTCCCCCTCTTTTTTTTTGAAAAAAAAAATTGATTTCATTATTTTCATTTAACAATGTTTATTTTATCCTCTTCATAGATAGAGTTAGTCATTTTTTCCACTCTCTAAGTGTTATCTTGATATTTTTATTTAGATGTTATCACTTTAGTTGTTCTCTGTTTCGTATTGTCAATTCATTTCATTCTGATATTATCATTATTATTATTGGGATTTTACCGCTCTCTTATCTGATGTTCACGAATATATATATATATATATGTCCATCATGGAAAGCACTGCGAAATTGTGGCTTTGTATTTTATAAAACAACAATAATATCAGTATCAAAAAGGATAATTATGTGTTGAATTATTCTTATCAGTTACCTTTTTTCTTCTTTTCTTGTAGTATTTTCTTTTATAAAATTTCCTTTCTTCAAAATACATTAATTTGATACTTACTAATTTCAAAGAGACGTATTCTCAAATGAACAAATATGTTTCCTACTAACAATTTAATTTGTATTATTATGTTCAGCAATTATATACGCATACAGTTTTTTTCTGATTATCTCTTCTGATATAATAAGAGTTGTTTCAAATTATATGAAGTGGAAAAAAAGAAGAACGAGAAAACTTTGAAAGAAAAGCTTTTTTTACTTTAAATTTATTTTCCTCTTTTTTAAAATTACAAACTTTCAAATGGATACTTATGAATAACCTTATGAAATTACCTATACAACATATGTATTATCTGTTCCCTCAGAGATAAATATCTAACAACAATTTAGTAAAGTTAGTGGATTTATTTACTTTGTTCTTTATCAGAAAATTAATACCATAAGTGTCTTTTTTAATGTAAGGGGTTAGGAGAGAATTTATACATTTATTCATGGTTATTTACTTATCGTACAAGAAATGCTTCGTGTAGAAAAGCATTAACAAGTTATATCGTACAAATTGGTGTGATAATGTTGATAAAAATTAGAAAACGGTGACGGAAAAAAGTGTAGGATGATCTGGTCAAAATTTGTAGAGCAACGATCCATTTGAATTACTCCATCGGACATTTGAAGCGTCTTCTATGATTTTTATCTCATTGAAACCAGCCTTCTCAATTTTACAGGTTTTAATATCGTGCCACTGATTCCGTAAATTTGCAGATGCAATTAAGAAAAGAGGACGGTAAGTTGTGCTCCGATAATAACAACTGTGATTTTGTTTTTCGTTAGAAAGTAGGTTATGTTCATGGGAAATATTCAGAAGACAACCACTTTTATCCTACTTGTAATCGAAGAATTCTAATTGGCTACCCAAACTATTACTAATGCGTAGAACCCAGAACGTCCATCTAGATTTTCAGCTACTAATACGTCTGTCGCAGGAGTTTGACAGAAGCTACATATTTAGTGGTAGTACTCAGTCTATGTTCCTCCTCCTAGTTTTGTCTTATCATTTGTGCGGAGATTCCTTTCCAATAGGAAGCAGTGAGTATAATCCGTTTGGTAGAGCCTTTAAGGATGGAGCTTCATGAGAGTGTGTCGATGTAGAAAGTTTAGCTCCATTTTCGGCCATATTTTTTGGGATTTTCACTTTAAATCAGTCTAAGCGTCCAAGATTTAAGAGCAGTATCTTGTCTTCTGAGATGGTCGGATTCAGTTTCTCATCGTCCACTAAACTAAATTTAGTTTAATTGGTTATTTTTTTAATCAAATGGCGCACAACTGTCATATTTGGAAATCCATGTTTATCGTTCGAATTATCGGTTATTTCCTACGGTCTAGTCTTATGTCTTTCATAACCCTTCCAACTAGAAGTGTAATATAAGAGTTGCTTGTATCAATTGTGGTACTGTTTTATACTGTCTCTTGTTGTAGGATGTACGTGATTTTTTGACGGGTTTTCAGTTGTTCGCTAAAACAATACATTTGATTATCCAAATAATTAACAGTCACAATTTGAAACTGAAAGTTCAACAAAAAAGCCTTTCAGAAATTAATCATGATAGCTACTCACAATATGGGAATATTTCACGAATTCTTTAAACGTTAGTTGTTTTACATTCTAACTGTATGATTTGGTCAAATATCTAATGGATATAATTTACGTTATCAATATTGGTTGTCTCATCTGTAGTCTCATTACTTGATGGTGAATCAAGAAAAAGATATCACTTTTACTGTTCGAATAAAACTCAATTACTTCCGATGTGTGTACAAAAGAACAACTAGGTTTTATACCATAATTTCTTTAATTCATATGATGTGGAAACTTATTTTATTGATCATGTTTGTTGTATCAGCTGCTGTTCATCATTACAATATAATCTTTAAATATAAACAGAAAACTGTACAGATACTTTACATGACATGTTAACAAGTTTCCCATTTTTCTTATTTTCTTTATTCCGGAAATATGATGTCAGATATGCATATATATATCGTTAAGTTGTATAGTTTTCGCTTTTTCTCAATTGTATGTAAATATGTCGGCTGTTGTTTAAGAGAATTCGAATGATTTCATACTTACAATCCTAATGAGTGAAATAATCTTCAAACCTGACTTCAAGTCACAATAATTTTACTGTTCAAACCAAAAAATAAGGAGTAACATCATTGCATTAAGTCAGTCAGTCAGTCGGGTCATTGCATTAAAGTCGTAGAGATACATTTTGATCATTCACTTATTTGAAGCAATAAGTTAAAGTTTCTAGAAAATTAACAACAAACTTTTACTATATTAAGCAACCATTTTAAAACGTGGCTATTCGAATACTTCACATTGTAACTGTAAGTGTAAGATGAGATATCTTGTACTGTAATTTAATAAACTGTTCTGAAGTTAACATGAATTTGTAATGATTTTACTGGTCGATGATCAACTTAATTTATGAAGCAATGTGATTGAAATTATTCATTAAACTGTTAATTTCTGTGTGCACGACAGATTTCCATATAACATGACGAGTAATTCACTTTAACAGGAGACCATATATTCTTTCTTAAGAAGTCTGTACTTATTTCAACGAATGCAACATCAAAACATTGGTTTTCTGTAATACAGGACGAACCATTGTTTTCTGTAGAGGCTGATAAAGTACTTAACGAATTTTAAAAATTCAGGATATCTATGTATATTCTATTCCTTTTAAAGAGTTTTCAACGACTGAAACCCTTCACTTAAAACTAATATATATATATATATATATATATATATATATATATATATATATCCATCATTTACAAGTTGGCTTTAGGGGATCTACTCAAAGAACGGCTGCATCTATGGCCGTGATTTTAGCAAAACCATTTACAAGAAATCATCAAATAATAGTTTGCATTGTAGATAGCAAAAAAAGATTAATGCAGAATAGTATGAATTCATCTTATTTCGCTACGATCTCAGCTCCTTACAACCTGTAATATTTTAAAATCAAAGTTATAATGTATATAGACATACTTATAAATACGAAGGTGATTAGAAATGAATATGTGTATCATGATTTTGTGAAGATTCCAACAGGGATAATAAGATCATAAAATTTTTTGTTTCAGATGAATAAACAAATGAAAACTGCATTTACAAGAACTTATCCTTCAGTTAAACTAATTTTGTCCAAAATCCCATGTTCTTTAATACAATCATAGATTGGTAGGTATCCCTTTCATGTTACCACCAACTGCGTATGCAAACTCACATGTATCTGGCAAAGCAGTTACTGTAATGCGTGCTACTTTTATTGATATAAGTAGTATATGACGCGAGTCAGGAATGTAATGTCTAGCATCAGAAGATGGAGGAAGATCAAGAAAGCAAGAGTGGGAATAGAATGCAATTTGTATGGAAATGCAAGGACAATGAAGTCTGAGGCATTTTGAGACAGTTAGTGGACATTTTTCAAATTAACGATTTAATATATGGTTCTCAGATTTTATTGAGATGCTCCGTGTTCTGTTCACTACAGTTACATTGATAAAACAGAAAGGAGGGCCTACGTCTAATTCAAAGAACATATTCCAAAAACTCTAAGGTCAAATGTATTAAAAGCACTCAGCAGAACCCTGTCAAGACATCTTGATACGGGACATTAAGTGTATACAGTGAAACCTTTCAAAGTGAATACTAAGCAACCTGATACTAATCTTCTGAAGCCACAGAGATAAAACGTCTAGAACCAAATCTGTGCGTCCAAAAAGAAACAGTAATCTTTCTTTTCCCTGGTAATATTACATCATTTTTATTGCATCATTGATTATTTCAGCACTTTTACAAGTTTTGATTGCGTGACTATCATTTTTCTTCAATTCATAATTTTCATCCGAATTGACGGATTCCAATTCATACCCTTCTTCATTACTATTTGTCTGTATTCAATTACTTCATTGCACAATCATGTGATTGAGAACCTAACGAAATATAAAGTCATATTAATTCTGCATCAACCTATGTTTTTGTTCTCTTCAAGATAATAAAAGGAACCATGTGTATGAAGTTTGCATTATGTTCGTTTGAAACGCCTAGTCTTTAAATAGATAGTATATTCAAAAGTTCTATTTAACTCACATTTGTGCTAGACTCTATATTGATAATGACTGATTAAAATGTTTATTAGTGCTTAAAACAGAGAGATAACGTCAAATCAGCTTGAATAGTTATATCACTCCAGTCTAATTATTTGTTAATTTCATGAGAATGCTTAATTAAATGTAACTGAATTATGCTAAATTTTCTTGGATCTACATACCTTTATTACTTTACACAACTGTTTCATATAGATAACAGTTTATCACTATATTTCCTGATAAATAATCACGAATGAAAATTTGTGAAAGCAATACTTTTTGTTTAGTTCATAACTAATTATTTCATTTACTCAGTAAAACTGATAATAGTAAAGTCTAATAATTAGATTTATGTGATTAAATGTCTCAGCTTATGAACTATAACCAATATTTCGCAATCATGTTAACACAAACATACTTTCTTACATCATTTCTAGACTTTTTAGCTGAAGATCATGTTTATTCTATTCATACCATGCTAGAAACAAATTTCTACTCTCGATCGATTAACTGGTTAAAATGAACGAGGCTGAGACAAAGAAAACATAAAGATGACACTGTTTAAACTGCACACCAGCCAAATGGTCGGGTATTCAATTTACTCAACGATATATGAAATATACAAAGCTCTTGTCAACCACATTACACTTGATCGACACCATGGGATTCTCCCATCAAGAAACCTTTGGTAAAAAACAGTAGAAAGCTGAACGAACTGTCACAGATTTTAATGTATCAGTATTAGATGTAGAGTTCAAATAGGATATCTATTGATACATTAAACTTTTCAATCTCATATGTGAAAAATTTATTTTTAAATCCATATAGTTTCCGAAAAATTTAGATAATAGTGACTATTGATAATGGAATGTTAGCGTATCTAGAAATTGTCTCATTGAATTAGTTTTAATATCCTGAGAGCAGTTACAAAATGAACACTACAGACACTGTCAGGCTGATGAAAAATGAAAACAGCACTAAAAAAATACAATTACATTATTTGGAAAGTCGTAATTCGTAGATTATTTTAGTCATACGTGTTAATAATTTTGAGCGTAAAATGCAATTACAATGAACAATCAAAGGTGATAGGATTTTAGAATACAAGATTCATTTCGAAGTACAGAACCCAATAGTCATATATCTTGTAAAAATAGAGTAATTAAATAGTATGTAAAAAGCATAAATACAATAATAAGTGGCATAACTACAATATCATGAGCGTTTTGGAGAGAAAAATATCAGATTTACCCCATAGACGGTTCATTAAACAGTGGTTGTATGGTTTCGTGTACACTTCGATCTGGCGACTAGGCTTACTATATACCTTAAAGTGGATTGTTAATATTTAAATAGCACTGTATGTTAAGTTAATTGAAGGGTTTGACAAAACTAACCATAAACGAACTTAAACGTACGAGGGGTGCCACAACCTTATTGTAGATTACAGGTTTTGAATCCAGCTCCACTTATTATTAAAGGCACATGGGTAAGATCACCATCACTCACAGTCAGTGTGACCCAAAAACGAGTACACAAAACTTGTAATTCGTAGATTAATTACATTGGATTCGATCATTTCAATTGGTAATGACATTCACTTTCTGAATATTTAGGAAATTTTATTCGCTTTGTCAAAACTTATAAAATATTTTTCGATTTTTTATCAAACTCCTAATTACTATTTTACTTAGTGTGAAAAAATCTTGTCATAACAAATAATTTCACTGATTGAAATCATAAGTCAATTGAAGGTAAACCACCATGGGAAACCTGAAAGCACTGGACGGCCGTTTCGTCCTAGTATGGAACTCCTCAGCAGCGCGCATCCATGATCCGGCACCCCGCGAGATTCGAACCCAGGACCTATCAGTCTCGCGTCAGGCTCCCAACCACTGAGCCGGCATCTAACGGTGTTAATGTCTAACCTCAACCAATCCACGAAGTTGCGCCACCGTACACCATTGTCTTCAGTGAGTTGATATCTAATAACAGACCTGGTTGTAAACTCCACTGCTGAGGAGTCCCATACTAGAACGAAACGGTCGTCCAGTGCTTCCAGGTTTTCCATGGTGGTCTAGCTTCAATTGACTCATGATTTCGATCATTGAAGTTTCCAAAATCTCCACAAAAACCCTTCTGATAACAAATAATGAAAAATGCTTCTTTTCAAAATAAATTAATTTGGACCATATTACCAACCTATTTGTATATGATTAGCTAATTAGAATGTATGGTTGGTGTGTATTAGATCAGGAAATGAAGTAAACCATCTTATCATCAAAGGTAAACAGCCTGCAAATTAAAAAGAAAAAATAACCAATATGAACTGAGGCCCAATAAAACCATCTACAATAGCTTATATCCTAAACTCAAACTAATGCCTTAAACAAACTTCTCTTAAATACCGTGAAATAGACTATTGTAGTAAACAAGAACACGAGTGGGAGGCAATCGAATGTATTTCGTCACGAAATCACAGAGCATATCAATAAAATCTGAGAACCATATAGTAAATAATTAATTTGCAAAATATCAATCCATCATCTCAAACTTAACTATTCCTTTTGCAAATATCAATCCATTGTCTCAGATTTCATTGTTCATACATTTTCATACGAATTGCGTTCCGTTTCCATTCCTTCCTTATCAATCTTCTACTGAAATACATTCTACACCTGATCATTGTTATATATTACTTATGTAGATATAAGTAACTCACATCACACTATTATTTAAAAATAAACAAATAAATCACCTGATATTTTATCGATTAATCAATTACTTTGAATATTATCACTATACATACTATTGGGAAATTTCTTGCAAGACTATTTATCTAATAACTATTCATATGTGTTATATTTCTATGAGAAGAATTTTATATTTTTGGTTATTTACATTTTTTATATTCTATGGAATAATTACAATACTCCTTTATATATATAAACAAAAAATTAATTTATTCATGGATACAAATAATAATCAATTCATCTATTCATACTATTCATTAATATTAACTTGTTTATCATTAATGAATTTTATTTTAGCCATTGGAACATTGAACATTGGTAAATGTTTATTCATTATTCTCTTTTTAGCAATATCATTCATTATTTTTATAAGTGAATTATTATTTCTCATTCAATTATATCACTATAGAGAAAATAAATTTTTTGGTTATCAAATGATAGAAAATTTGATAAAAAATTTAGTACAATTTTATAATTCAAATCAAATGGAACATTTTATATTAGATTATATACAGAATTATTTTCAATGTTGCGGTTATAATGAATGGCATTATGAATGGTATAATATTACTAGACAAATAATAAAAAAGGATACAAATCAATTTATTGATTATTGGGTACCAAATTCATGTTGTAAAAAAATGTATCAAAATGATAAATATTGTGGTTATGCCATTTATCATATTCTTATTAATAATAATGATTATTTTATTAAATTACTGAAATCTTATCAACCAATATATATACCTAATAAATGGTATATCAAGTTAAATAATGAACCATGTCCAGAATTAATTTATATTTGGTTAGGTGAAATACCTGTGTATTTAATAATGTTTGGTTTAACGGTTATTGTTGCACGACTACTTTACACCATATATATTGTATTAAATTTTGTTAAAACAAACAAGTAGACTGGGTAATTTATGGACATCATTTTCATGTATGGAACACATATGTCTCTCATACATCACATAAAATCGTTTTTTTTTTAATTTACTGTCAATGTAGATTGAATGTTACATTTTGTTGTTAAACAATAAAATAATCATTGATCAACTATTTCATTTTTATTTTGATGATAATATCCATCATCATTTTTCAGTAGGTTTTTAATACAAATAACAGGGTCTACTTGCCAGGTTACTTAAGTGTAATCAATGGTATACTACCTAGTCTGGTTTATTGACTTGAAACACAACTCACCCCTGCTTCTAAATGTACAAATCACATAGTTAAGATGTGAAAAAAAATGGATACCTATGGTACATAACAACGACATTGGACCTTGTCCGTTGAGAGATTTTGTGGAAGTATTGGTAGAAGGAGTGCAGATTGAACAGTCAATTCAATCAAACTTATTTTTGGCTTTCAGACGGAGTTTTTAAAACTCTAGTACAAAGCTGGTATTAATGGTACCGATCCAGTTAAGAGTGTGGCAGTGACCCATTGATGACGGTATTTGAAGTTTTTACGATATCAAAAAATACTTAAGTTTTAAAATGTATGCCCGAGACTTTGAGTCCAGTATAACTCGAAGGTCCTAGGTTTGACCCTAACTTGCTTTGTAGATGCAACCTGGTGAGAATTCTTACACGAAGATCAGAATATTTAGTGCTTCATAAATCTTAACTGTTCTCCAGCTGAATAATGTCTCGAATCTCCACGTTAGATAATTTTCCCTTTTCTGAAAAGCTTGGTAACTATAGTTATTGTTTTTATGGATAAGTTCTGTATCCTAGATTGATCATCTTATAACTTTTTTTTTCCCAACGAACTACCAATATGAAACACATGGTCTGAAAAAATCAGTAGACGTGGTGAGACGAAAACAGTATACACTAGACCGGATATACCATATTCTCAGAAATAATGTCAGAGTATTTTCTTTTGGAAAAATATTGTCAAAAAGCAAAAGCCGGTGATTCACGTAATCCTTATTACTTTTAATCGAGACAAAATAGATGACGTGACATATTTAATAACTGGAAACACAAAATTTTGTAACAAAAACGCTTGAGTGACATTATTGATTACCGTTGTAATTACATTATACATGACTGAATTTATACCTTTTATCATGTATCGCTTTTATGAAGTTCTACATTTTACTTAAAGACTCAAATATGAAGTCACTCAACAGAACAGTATCGTCTCAATTACCTGTCACTAGTTCTACATTCGTTTACCGGAAAGTAAGTGTAGGAACCCGGATATTATTCCATAAAGTTTGTTTGAAAGCACAAATATAAGATGAACAGGACAATTCGTTCAATAACTTATACCACGATGTTTACATATATTAATTAATTAATTAATATCAAGATACTTGATTTTTCAGTGTGGTTATTTTCTAAATATCTGTCACACACAACTGTAAATAAATGATAGGTTTCGCTTTTCACAAGAAGTTCCAAGCCGAACTTCAGGTAGAAAATAACGTTTTTTTGATGAATTCATTGTGATAAGATCACTACATGAGTGCAATAATAGTACATAAATATATTTAGAAAATCTTTGGAACTAAGAGAAGAAATTCAGTAGTGAAAATGATATCTTGAAGAGAACAAAAAATGGTGATAAAGTAGACTTTAGGAATGATAAGTCAACCAATTTCCAATACTTTTAGAGTACTTAAATCATGAACTGGGTTTAGAACTAAACGATAAGACCGGGATTAGTATTTCTTTTATGAATTATCGACATAGTAAAGGATTTATTGGAAAAGTGTTTAAAAGTGGGCTATTATTATCAGTATGTTGAAAAACAAAACTACCGAATTAAAATCAGAGGTACTGCATTGTTTCATGGACAGTGATTAGTTAAAAATTAGCTTGAATGATATTACGATTTCTGTTTCTCATTTCGAATGAAATTCTCATGACTTTTCAACAGTCTGTTAATAAACATTTTGTCTGTATAGAGTTGTGGAGACTATTGAGTTTTTATTAGTATTATGAACCGATTAATGTAAGGTCACCATTGAAAATCTGAAAGCACTGCGCGGCTGTTTCGTTCTAGTGCGGGACTCCCCAGCAGTGCGCATCCATGATACCACACGCGGGACTCGGACTCAGGACCTACGGTTTCGCGCGTGAACGCTTATCCAACAGTCCATTGAGCCGGCATTTAATGGTGTTAATATCTATCTTCATTCAATCCACGATGTCGCGCGATTATCTTCCTTTTTTTTCAGTGGGTAACTGTATCACACCCGACACGATGAACTCTACTGGTCACGGCACCTCACTATAACTACAGAGTGTTCGTGTCTCGCGTGCGGGATCGCGGATGCTCACTGCTAAAACATTCCATACTAGAACAAAACAACCGTTCAGTGCTTCTAGGTTGTCGGCTCTTGATCTCAATATAAACATCGAGTTGTTCATTATAAATAGTTATTTGAAAACACTGAACTTTGACATCTTAAAGATGATTGGATCCTTTTAGAAGAGACAATTATACTTTTTATGATTTATTCATCTAACTAACTTCATTTCAGATGATATAATAATAAGAAAAAATATTATGATTATTATTGTTATATCATATATTAGCACAATAAACTTTGAACAAGTGAAAAACAAAGTTTAAACTAAACAAATTACAGGATAAGAACAAACAAAGATTATATAATCTATACTGTATGAATAACATCATTCTGTTCATTACTCCTTTTGTACATTCTTTCCATTAATATTCTATTGAATACAAATTTCAAAATTTATACACCCTTAAATAGTTTAGTTATATTATATGGTTTATTATTATTTTTCTTATCCTACATTTTTAATGTTTTCATTTTAGGGAAAAAAGGAAGTATTTTGTTGTAGCCTTTTCATTCTAGAATCGATTGAATCATCTGACCGATAGTTTATTTCATAAATGTCAATTTTCTTATGTAACAGAATCGTAAATAAAACAAATTACAATTATATATATATCAAGAGTTTTGTGGAGATTGTAGTAATTTCAATAATTGAGATCATGAGTCAATTGAAGCTAGACCAACAATAGGACGAAACGACCGTCCAGTGCTTCCAGGTTTTCCATGGTGGTCTAGCTTCAATTAACTTATGATCTCAACCATTGAAATTATTACAATCTCCACAAAACCCTATTCTGATACTAATCAACATATGCTCACTAGTGACTGGCTTCAAAAGGTATACTCTGGAGTTCGAGTGAATAGTGACCAGTGGAGTTCAACCGAGTCTGTTGTGAGATAGTAACTTACTGATGACAATGGTTGTTGTGTCGCTCAATTTTGTGGATTAGTTGAAGTTAGACATTAACACCGCTGAATGCCGGTCAGCTCAGTGGTCTAGTGGTTAAGCGCTCGCGCGCGAGACTGATAGGTCCTGGGTTCGAATGCCGTAAGGAGGGGTCGTGGATGCACACTGCTGAGGAGTTCCACAATAGGATGGAACAGCCATCCAGTGCTTCCAGGTTCCCCATGGTGGTCTAGCTTCAATTGACTCATGATCTCAACCATTGATATATACAGAATAATTTTATCAGATATTATTTTATTCAAGTAAATAAGGTCAAATTCTATGTAAAATATATAATAAAGTAAATATACTTTGGAATTTTAATCCATATGATATTCATGGAAAAATTAATGTATCATTAAAAAATAACTTGTGAAATATTTTGGCTAAAATAATGAAAATGTTAAGCGGTAATTTCATTAAATAAGCAGTTTAAGGTGCACTATTATTATTATAAAAATTAGAACAAGAATTTATATGTTATTCAGCTAGTAAACTATTAACTGGAATGTGAGTATAATTAACTTCAATCAATTATAATAGTTTTTTGATTGAGATCATGAATCGATTGGTTTTAGACCATTATTCAAAACCTGGAATCACTGGATGAACGTTTCACCCTATTATGAGATTCAGCAGTTCGTATCCACGATCTCGCTTGTGAGATGTGAACCCAGGACCTACGGTCCCGCGCGTGAATGTTTAATCTCTAGACCACTGATCTGGCCGGTATCCAACGGTGTTAAATTCTAACCTCAGCCAGTCCATGAGGAGTCCCATAGTAGGACGAAACAACCGTCCAATGCTTCCAGGTTTTCAATGGTGGTCTAACATCAATCGATTTATGATCTCCATCAAAAACCTAATAAACTCCACAACCCCATTCTGGCAATGATAGTAGTGTTAGTAAGCTTATGTAATTAAGATGACCTCAATTATAAACATTGGAATATTGGTGTTTATTATAAGATATATAATTTAAAATTTGCCGATATCATTATGTAAAAGTAATTTACATTAGTAACTGTATAATGTTTGTGGTTTGCACTGGCTCTCAGCTTTTTAAAGTTCATGATAGGATATCCTACTTGATGCGGAATTTCGATTGTCATACATGAGTTCTGTTCCAACTTATTTGTCCTCGTACAGACAGATTTCTGAATGACTCAAATGTATAACTTGGTACCTAGATGCAGATTCGCTGTGATGAACTTCCTTCTCAAGCCTCAATGAGATAAGAAGGCAATTACTGTACTAACTTACACATTCTTCTGTCTTTGACTCGAAATTCACATGATTAGATATTTCAATAGACGAACCACAAAGCATCAATATTAAGGAAATACAATCTGTACCGAAATGGGACATTTGACATACAGCATACAATTGAATTAAATTAATTTGGAAACAATAAATTGTGACGATAGTTTATAAATCAAACGAAAGCTGGCAACTAGGAAAATATGAAAATCATGTGAACTGGTAAGTTGAAAATCAAATGTATTGATGCCACAAAACATAGCATTCGAAATATTTCATCTTCCTATATGCAATAAACTGTAATAAATTGAAAAGCAAGGTACAACGGACAGGATTTTAATCTTTAGATTAAACCACCTCAGCATTACCCAACTATAACCTTAGGTTGTATTGAAACCAGAGAAATTAAAGGTTCTAATAGAACTGTTTGTTGCTCTCCGGCTAATATTGATCAGTGAAAATAATTTTTAACACAAATCTCCATCAAATCACTTAGTTCAAAAGGTATATAATGTCAAGATATCGAATGCTGTCATAATGAATGACAAAAACGTTTCCTTTTCAACTTGACTGTAATAAAATCAAGTGAATCCGAATGTAATGACTTTCTAAATATCCAATATCACTCAAAATACTTGTTACTTTACCATATACTTAAATAGTTTGTTTTGGTCATTTTCAATAAAAATTCTCATCATGTTAAAACGCATTCAAATGAATAAAGAACATTCTTTTCGATAAACCTATTTCCTAACAATTCGAATCTCATTACTAAATGCACTGAATATTTGTGTTTGAATGCTAAACCATGATAATCCTCTCAGGATTCACACATACCAACAAAGGGAGTTTAGATACAATTCTCGATACCAATAATGATTGGACTATGGCTTGCCTCGTGGTGCATTTTGATTATTTCCTTAATATATATCCTATCCACTTTCAACGTCTTTTCCTAATTTCCAACTCAGCTGGAAGTTGGTTTGTTCTTTCCCACAGTAGGCTGTTGCTGATGATATCCGACCAACAGAAATTCAGTATATTAGGTAAATAATCGTTTAGAAGTACTTGCACTATTTTGATGGTTGTGGTAGCTCTCCAAATTTCAGTTCCGTATAATAGAACTGTTTTGACGTTCCCATTGGAGATTGTGCTTTGATATTGACTGACAGTTGCTTGAGTTCCATATGTTGCTCAAGTGTAGGAATGTTATCCTTGATTTGCCGAACCCCAACTTGAAATCCCGAAGGAAAACGGAAAAGAGGAAGACCGAAGAAGACACTACGTCGGGAATTGGAAGCAGATATGAAAAGCATGGATAGCAACTGGAAAGGATTGTCGAGGACAGGGTTGAATGGAGAGTGCTAATGAACGACCTATACTTCTCCATGAGGGGTAAGTAAGTAGTTACTGCAACAGTGCAGGTATAGGCCCAAAACAAATATATCATAGGATATGTTGAATATGTTAATTATAATTACAGTATAATTATTAACCATTGATCAATTGCAGAAACGGAGAAAAATATTTTTAAGAAAAAGGATGTTCAAAACTCTCTTATGTCCAAATCAAAGTCTTTCAATTTTAGCAAAGATTATTATGCTGAAATTATAACAAAATTAATCAGTCCAAAAACTTGTGTGGTAACTTTAATTTGTACTATATCATCAGCAACAGCCTGCTGTGGGAAAGAACAAACCAACTTCCAGCTGAGTTGGAAATTAGGAAAAGACGTTGAAAGTGGATAGGATATATATTAAGGAAATAATCAAAATGCACCACGAGGCAAGCCATAGTCCAATCATTATTGGTATCGAGAATTGTATCTAAACTCCCTTTGTTGGTATGTGTGAATCCTGAGAGGATTATCATGGTTTAGCATTCAAACACAAATATTCAGTGCATTTAGTAATGAGATTCGAATTGTTAGGAAATAGGTTTATCGAAAAGAATGTTCTTTATTCATTTGAATGCGTTTGAACATGATGAGAATTTTTATTCAAAATAACCAAAACGGTATACGGTAAAAGCAACAAATATTTTGAATTATTTATCTACATTATTAAGTGAATAATAACTTGCTCATATATTATGACAATTTTATTGTAATTAACTACTTCATCCGTAATTTGATCTCACTGTGCAATTTAAAAACAATAGTTATTCCTAATTAACACATACCTATAGACTAGTTTTATTAATCATAAAATCTTATCACTGCTCATTTTTATTTGAACACAGTGGTACAAAGAGACACCAAATACATATGCGCCACACAAATCTCATTTGATATATGTGAGGGCTGTGATACTGCCAAGGTGCCCAAACCGAAGCAGATGGTTTTATTAGAGGGCCACACCCGGAGCCTTCGGCCTAAAGGTCTGACCCACAAGGTAGTGGAGCATCGTGAGGAGATGCAGTCCAATGGTAGCCCGTGACCAACGATTGGTTCATACACCGTTTGTTCCTTCAGGATACTGGAGCCCATGTGCACCATTGGTTTGGAATCAGGGTTTTCCAACTCCCGTGGGTGGACTCTCCATGTCCACCAACACGGTTAAAGCGCCGGACATTCGATTTTCGTAAACAACAGTAATGCAACGAGAAGGCAGTGAGTAGGACTTCCCTGGCATAGGCTATATACGCGTGGCCATGTGGGAGCATTTCGAGAGGGAGAACGGACTCTCTCCACTATCGGCCGTACCACAGCATTTGGGGGCTAACGAGAACAATAACGGGGTGGATTTGCATACATATAGCAAACAATTCTCTTTGAACCTAGCACACAACAATAGCATCATGCACTGTCCCATCGCCCTTGGCAGATCAGGTAACCCGAAAGTTACGAGAACACCATGAGAGTATACGACAGGCTTGATACCCCAGAAAGTACTGTATCATTACAGTACTTTCTGAAGGTCTTACACTACTGATTATAACTATTTACTTTCAAATAATAACTGTTTACTAATTTCGAATGACGATTTTTTAACCGATATCATTACACTTCATAGAAAAACAAATCATGGAAAACATGACAAAAGGGGTAAATATAAATAGAAATTGTTATATTATGCATAAAATTATTTTAATTTACTTTATAATAAATCGTTATCATTTAACAAATCAATCCAGTTTGTCATAAACAATTAAAGATTAGACACAAATATGTACTAGTTCAAGTAGTCCCATTCTAAGATGAATGAATACTAAGTAAGGCACATTATTGCATTTAACTAATATATATATATATATATATATATATATATATATATATATATATATATATAGAGAGAGAGAGAGAGAGAGAGAGAGATTAAGAATGAACACATCTCCATCGCTATAATCTATCTTCAGACGTTTAACTCGAGATCTTCAAGTAATTGATTAAGGTCATTGTGACCACATTTCACAATAGAAATCAATAACATATCAATGACTGAGCATTATTATCAGCAGTATTGATGGTAAGAGTAGAAGAATAAAACAAAGTCAAATCAACACATCATGTATAATTATGCATAAGTGAATAATAAAGTGAAGTACAAAAGTAAAACACTATTTGATTCTATATATTTACAGAAAATGTAGACGAAAAATTAGTAATTCGTAAAGTGATCATTTAAAATATTAAACATTCGATACTGTAAGAGAATTAAAATAAGTTGCATTGAAAAAATATCCGTCTTTTACTTCTGTATTAATATAATAACTGTGATGTCAGATAAGCTGTTGCCTTATAGATATTCATACTGTTTTTGGATATATTACACAAGCCAATATTATTCATTTGAACATAATTCTAAAATGTAAAATAGATTAATATAAAGAGAATTAAAGGATGATATGTGTTATATCCCGATAAGAATAATGAATGGTAATTTTTCGGATCTATTGATGGACCAATACTATGAGTATATTTTTATCGTATAATTGTTATGTAACTAAACTGTTCACACATTCATGTCCCTCTTGTTATGAGTTTTATTTTGACCTATGAACTATTATTATACGATTTACCATTCTTGAATTATTCCCTGTCTGTTATTCACTACCTCCCTCATTCACAGCCACTTTTGGTTAAATATTGTACAAATGTCGTTTCATATTTTATGGTAGGTTGTGGTCTGTCTGGTTGATATATAAACCGAGTATGTTTGAAATAAATGATTCATATTGAGGAAGCTGAGATTGGTGTTCTGGACTCAACTGGCTGGGCTAGGCGGAAAGCAGGACCAATCAGGACTCTAGGCTGCTCGCATGTGTTTATTGCGTCACTAGTCCGATCGATAACTCACTGCTCTCTGATTGTTGATATCGTTGCGTTATACAATAAACAGGGCACACAGGTTCACAAGATATAACAATATGATAATTAACTATTAACTAATAAGATTAAATACCTCTCTGACAGTGGTGGTTAAAAGAAATCTTTAACCCCACACTGAAAATTATCATGTGGTCATTAGTGACCAGTTTTAAGAGGAAATTTTTGGAGTTTTATTGAGAAGCCATGATTCGTAAAACCAATCCGTGTCAGGTGTGAGGCAGTTACCCATCGAAGACAAAGGAATATGGTTGAGGAATATCATGGATTGGTTGAGGTTAAATATTAGCACTGTTGAATGGAGGCTCAATGTTCTACAGGTTAAGCGTTCACGCGAGAGACCGAATGTTCGGGTTCGTTTTCAGCGTGAGGAGTCGTGAATGCGCAGTGATTAGGATTCCTGTACTATGACAGTACAGCCACCCAGTTCTTCTAGGTTCTCAATGGCGATCTATCTTGGATCGCTCCATAGCTTTAATGAAATTCAAAGAAATCTATAAATTAAAAAAAGTCAACTGAATAGCTAACAAACATTTTCCCTATACCAATACCAAGTTGTGACTTGGGAAAAAAGCTCTACATCAATAACTATTAACTATGCAGATGATTCAGAAAAGAACAAAATAGTTGAATAACACAACAAATTGAGTCATAAGATCGGGTCTTAGTGAACACCATAAGTTCAGATCACAGGACAAAATTTTTGCGATAACAGTAATTGTGGGTTGTACAATATTCACTGATATAAAATCACATACTAGTATAACTAACTAACGTCTCGTTAATTACTTAAAAACAACGTACTAAGATATATATAACATTGATCAGTATATTGTACATGTTTGCGCCATTTCTATTAAAAATGTATTAGAATATATATTTTTTCTTTTGAATTCTTGTCAACTGGCAAAAATGATCATATTCATCAGTCAGTCAGCTACAACGTAGGATCAGGCACGTATATGCATCGGTCCAGGTTGCCATACTTCGTTAACACAACAAGATAGACACCGGATTCATAAAAGTAGTTAATCCAGTTATGGTAATATATAAAAGAAAGATTGCAATAAGGATATAGTACAGGAAGAAAGAACTAGTTCATAGAAAGAAAGATATGAAGCGATTTTAATCTCTTAGTTTAAGGGAAGACAGAGAGTGTATACACCTACGCCATTGTGATCGATTCTGAGCAATGTCACCAAGAGTCTCCAACCATTGGTTACGATAGTCACGCGGAACCCAACCAAGTAGTCTACATCTACCAACATGGCTCAGACTAGAAGTTAGTGACTTCAAGCACTGATGCCACGTTTTGGTTTGGCCATCATATTCATCAGAAAATAAAAACAAATGTACTATAAAACAAAGATAATCACTTAAGCAAAACATTATGAAAATTACTGTAATTTTTTAATACAATAAGATATAAATTAAAATTACCCAGTATAGCACAATATGTACAAGACATGAATCAGGGCAGCGGGGCGTAAAGAACAGTAAATAAAAAAAAGATCAAACATAACAAGTAACCTGTTAACATTTAATACAATAAATATGAATAGCTGAAAAACAGATAGCAACTTACATTATAAATATCAATTGAAGTTTTATCTATAGGCAACGAAGACGATGATGATAAAGTATTGAGACTAGCAAATTTATTTATATAATAATTATCAATTTGAATTGGATGTTTAATAAAATCTGTACGAAGATAATCTGTATGAAAATACAATATAATTGAAAAACAAAAGAGTAGAGATTAATTGAATATAGTTAGTTAATCATGTTTCATAAATACAAAAATAATACAATTTATCCATTATACTACAATTACAAATTAAATTGTAACATTAACATCTACCATTGGTTTTATTGTTTGTTTAAAATGAAATATTTAAGAAAATGTTGTTTAAACTATATTATATCTACATTATTTAAATAAAAAAAAGGTATAGAATATTAATGTTTCATACACATGAATAGAGTCAAGCTTAAAAATAAGTTTAAAGTTTAATGGTCAATTTTATTAACCATTTAGCTAGTTCATGTGGTTAGTAAAATTGTTAAACCTAATTTGTATTAAACTATGTAAGTTTTTTCTTAAAATGATTTCATTTTTGTTATATCTAGAAGGTTGTTCTTGATATACCGCGTACAACGTGAGCACTAGAACGCCAGAACCCTTCCTAGTCACAATGAGAAGATAGAAGACTAATGAAAGGAATATTATTCCTAGACAGTGTAAATTATAGTACAAAACTGTCAAGTATTTATAGTTTTTAGTAAGAACAAATTCATCATTACAGTCCACCAATCAGCATACAGGGGGTTATTGGCATTGTCCAATTGGGAAGCTACACGTGGAAATTCTAGAATATTCTTCCGAAAAGTGATTGGAGTGAATATCTTTGGCTCCTTCTGAGCCTCCTACAGCTTCCTCGAGTTCACCCGTGGTCCGTCGTCACAGCTTTATTGTAGGATAATAAATGTCAGATTACAATTTTAATGTTTTCACTTTTTTCTTAATATTAGTGAACTAAAATTAATCATTTGTCTTTCCTCATTATTTATGTAATAAAACGAATAGAAAAAAAACTTTGAAAAGAAAAAGAACTACTGATATTGTATTGAACAAGACCACGAGTGGGAGACAATCGAATGTATTTCAACACGAAATTACAGAGCATCTCAATAAAACCTGAGAACCATAAAGTAAATAGTTAATTGCTGAAAAATTCCCATTATATTAAAACACAATTGTATGAACAAAGAATATTCTTTTCAATTCTTATAAATTCCAATGATGTTTTCGTTTCTGTGAACTTTGCGTTATACTTCAGGAACTCATCGAGTGCCTTCAACACAATGGGTTGATCACAAAATTTTAATCGCTGAAAAATTTCCATTGAGTTCAAGGCACTCAATGAGTTCCTGAAGTATAACGCAAAGTTCACAGAAACGAAAACATCATTGGAATTTATAAAAATTGAAAAAAATATTCTTTGTTCATACAATTATGTTTTAAATAGTTAAATTGCAAAATATCAATCCATCATCTCAAACTTAACTATTCCTTTTGCAAATATCAGTCCATTGTCTCAGATTTCATTGTTCATGCATTTTCATACCAATTGCGTTCCGTTCCAGTTTCTTCCTTATCGAACGTTTACTGAAATACATTCTACGCCTGACATCCGTTATATACTACTTGTGTGGATATAAGTAACCCACACCACAATATAACGGTAGAAAAGTTGAGTTCCTATTATTAATTGTTGGCAAATAATAAGAGACGAAACTACACTTTACGTAGTAAACAACTTGCCCAGGACACGGTTGGATGGAGAGTGTTGGTGGGCGGCCTACGTTCCTCCATGAGGATTAACAAGTAAGTAGTATATAACACGAATTTTTATTCTTTTCAAATTTTCACCATAAATGATTGATTGTAATCAATGTTCGCTTTTTCTTTTTCAGTGAATATTATTACCATATTTTCAGTTAAAAGAATAAAGTAATAACTTTAATTATAGTTTACAGACAGACATCAACAGGAATCATACTTGAATAGTGTAATAAGTTATTATAAGATCTAAATTAATATACTGAAGTACAAACACAGTATTCAAGTTTAGCATATCTAGTTTTTCCGTTATACACTCTTGGATATTAAGTGTGAAGTTAGCCAATAGAGCAAACAAATGTTTACTTCCAATCAGCTTATCATCATGGATCTACACTTATCTATATGCATAAATATAATTAACAGTAATAAAACAATACCAACCGAGTTGTGTTGTATGCTACTTATGTTGATAAACATAAGTAGTATGCAACACCAAGCGGGATTGCAAAACCTAACAGCAGAAGGCCAAGAAGATCAAGCTAAAGATAACAGAAAGGAATTGTGAATCGGAAGAATTATACGGAATGTGAAAGACAAAGGATGCAAATTCGCCAATGAAGTATTCAGTGTATGGTTCTCTTTACCAAGATATTCTGTATTTTGTACTAAATAATAAGCCGGTTGTCCTCACCTGAGTCTCGTCCATTATAGTGTTACATAATGATAATACAATTTCACAACTGATTACGAAAATAACATTGAGTGATTAGTTAGATAATTGATATGATACCGTAAATAATCAAAGTAATCAATCGTAGAAATTCCCAGACTAAACAATTTTTACCGTTGTAGATGAAATATATATATCAAGGTAGAGCCATGATGAAAAAAATAATTGAGAAGAAATATTTACACATTCTGTTTCTCTCTTTAGTACATATGCATTGTTGGGTTCAATAACGTAGTGTGAAGAGCACCAGTAGATATACAATTAAAATACCGGATCAAGAAGGGTATCTACGAGGTTGAACATTAGTTTTACTGATGAATAATTACCCGCAAAACAAAGCATCAATCCAAAACTTTATAATGATTGGCGGCAAATGTCTTGTGATAAAAATGCTACCGTGTCGTTTCGTTTTAAATTAAACTCAGCCAACATCACAATAAGGCTTTAAATAGAAACTAATGACGAACTCGTGAATAGGTTGTATTATTTCACTGCTAAGAATAAACAGAACAATAATATCATTTATATACCTTCATAGACATGTTTATTTGGTAAATTTAACACGATCTCAGATAACGACACACAATTTGAATAGGTGGATTCAGGATCTTCTTTGGATTTACCAAGTTGGCCAACTATTGTTTGTTTTCGCTTTTGACGTTTTGTAGAATTTGAAGTATACGGGTAACTTACAGAATATCCTTTATTATCAAAATATTTGTCAGGTAGACGTTTAGATTGTATTACTGATAAGTCTGGATCAAGAAGCAATTGAAATAGATTCAAATCGGGCGGAAAGAAATTAATACAATTATCTATCGACTCCTCATAATCGCTAAAAGGAGAAAAAAAATGATAATGTAAAACTTCATGCTATGCAATAGTCATTTACAATTAGTTAGTCACATTGTGAATACATATAGTGCGCTATTGATTGAAATATTGAAGTACTAACCATTTAATAGAAGGTTCGGATTCTGTCTAACCTATTCTATTTTGATCAGTGCGGAGTTATTCTTGTTCCTTGATATAACTGAGGGGATTCATACGATAACAGGAACATATATGTACGGAAAATAGATGGAACTATAACATATAATGTCTAACCCGAGAACTCTATATTTTACTGGTCTGTAAGACATCAGAAGATAAAAGCTAAATCAGCATTTATCTAAAATACTACTCTTTTTATATATAACTTTAGGTAACCTAAAATTAAGACGAACAAGTGATTAAATAAATTGTGTCTAATGGCTTAATCAAGTCATTCCAACTACGTAGCAGTATAAAATCGAAATATAGATAACAAGAATTTTCGCATTAGTGATCAATCACTTAAAATGTTGATTTCTAATTCAAGCGCTATCTATTACCCTTACATATAAAGTGTAGTCCAAAGCCAAATACCTAAAAGTGTACTTAATAAATGTGTTACGTCAGTATTAGTGATGTAATAATACAACTTTTAATTTCTATTCCACAGTTATTAGTACACCATTCAACTTTACATGTTGGGCAGAGTAAAAAATTTATAACTAATTATCAGAAGCGGTTTGTGGAGATTTTAGAAATTTCACAGATTGAAATCATGAGTCAGTTGAAACTAGACCACCATGGAAAACCTGGAAGCACTGGACGGCCGTTTCGTCCAAGTATGGGACTCATCAGAAACGCGCATCCATGATCCTGCACCCCGCGAGACTCGAACCCAGGACCTATCAGTCTCGCGCCAAGCGCTTAACCGACTAGACTACTGAGACGGCATCAAATGGTGTTAATGTCTAACTTCAACCAATCCACGAAGTTGCGCCACCGTATACCATTGTCTTTAGTGAGCTTATATCTCACAACAGACCTGGTTGAACTCCACTGGTAACGGCTTCTCACGAGAACTCCAGGAGTCCTATACTAGGACGAAACGGCCGTCCAGTGCTTCCAGGTTTTACATGGTGGTCTAGCTTAAATTGACTCATGATTTCAATGTGATATAACTAATTAACTCAAAATGACGGTATGTAATAGCTTAAAAAGTGTATTTTTTTAAATATTCTCACTCGTACAATGAAGAATAACTAAATAATTCAATTCATTATAAATCGTGTGATTTTAATTCAAATTCATAAACGGTAAAGGTGTTAGCACATTTCCAAATTGTATACTACGCCCACTTAGTGTCAAATAACAAAACGTTTATTGAAATCTATGGAGAAATGAACAATTGTTTTGTGCAGTTATAATTATGCTCACATTGAATCATTGTTAAAATTGAAGGCTAATTAGGATTGAACAAGAATATATTAGACTTAAATAATAGACATTTCATTGATTTGTTTTTCTTTCAGAAATTTTGTTCGTTCTTTTTAAACTATCCTTCGTTTTTTCGCTACCAATGATATTGACATTGTTTCGACAGATTTACTGTTCATCTTGTAAATTTTTTCTAGTTATACTGACATATGAAGTGTGTTGTTTCAAGGGCAAGTGGATATTTTCACAGAGTTCTATATTATATCTGTTTGTCTATTTAATTATCTGCATTAATCAATCAGTAAGTAGTAACTAACATCAAAGTGTCTTATCCAAAATTCGAAAACTAGGATATATGAGTAAAAGAGGCGAAAACCGAGGAAAAACTGTACACACAGGTATACTTAACTGATTGAAAAGTAAATAAGTAGATTTTTTGACATTCTCTATTTACAGCCTGATGTGATATTTAGGTTTCATGAAGCTAACTAGTGACCTTGATCGTGATGTATTATTTATTACACTCGCTCTATCACATAAGAAAATCTCATACAGTTATTATAAATTAGAAATACTTATTAACAGATATTTCATTAATTAACACTACATACTAAAACTGTCTAAAAATGGAAGAGGTATCGGGTAATCAAACCAATTAGATGCCTTGTAATTGTATCAATAATTCAAACTTTAAAGTAGATAGTGATCATAATATTCTTAGAAAACAGCAAGAAAAGTTTCACAAATTACAATCAGAAAATTTGAGTTTGAAACTAACTGGTGAGATTACTTTTTTAAAAATAAATTATTATTATTATTATTATTATTATTATTATTATTATTATTATTATTATTAATGGCTTTACTCAATATTATATTTTGGTACAATATAGAATTCTCAGCACAGGGTATCTCAACAAGTTTCTTACACACAAAAAACAGTAACAAAGACAAGAAAAGGAATAAAAATGTTTTAAAAAACCGAGGAACTGTACAACTTTACAAATTAGAGACATGTTAAGATTCCAGGTTATTGTCTAGGTTAACTCTAACAACCTGTTCGTCACAGAGTATATTTACTAGGTAAGGTATTATAGAACTTTCGTACTTTTGCTTGCGTGCATAGATTTTAATGTAATTACGTCTCGTTCTACCAGGAGATATACAAGGAGAAAGATAAGAGTGAAGGGGATGGTTAGTATCTGATAAAATAACACCTGCCAGGAGTTTGCATGATTTCAAATGTGTATCCACAACCATATTAATTATGACTTCGAAAGATTCACCACACATCTTGCTAACTGCCTTCAACACTCTCAGCAATACAGCAAAGTCTTTTCTCAAAAGCCCGGGAATGACAATAAATGACAATAACTGTACATCTTTAAACGCCGGTTTGTTATCTTTTAGGATTGATTATAATCTAGTTATGGGGTTCGGTGTAAAGTTGACTTTAAAATAATCTTTTGATATGATAGTCAGCGTCTGAATTGACTAGAAAAAAAAAGATGCATAAAAATGATTGAGTTCAGTCACCTAAGACATTCGATTATGTCTATTGTTTTGTCATTATGTTATATATACACGTATGTTATTTTATTACATTAAAAAAAAAACTTTTTCTACTGGACACCTAATTTGTCTTCTGATATCAGTTCAGCTATGGGGTAGGCTGGGGGTTATGCCAATAATTTGGTTTGGTGAGAAAACAAAAATCAGCCACATTATTTTATTAGATATGATCTAATTTCGCATTCGTTCCTTTCATTTTAACAGTTAAAAGTTCATTTACTAACGCCTGTTTTATAATATCACAAGATTCGATTTTAAAAAATACAACAGGATAGCTACGCAAGGTCTCGTATACTTAGCTTTTAGTTACACTTTTGTACCTGTAGCAGACTACAAAGTCATAGTCAAGAACATTACGAGTGACTAAATAGGATCATTTCAACACCAGAACATTAATTATAGAGTGTAAAGAAATTATACCAACAAATAAATGTGAGTAGTAGCATTCACGGTACCTATCTGAACTAGATTTGTCTTCACCATTATCACCGTCATCCTCAGCAACAACAGCAGATTTTTCTTGTTGTTTTTTGTCTTTTTCATCATCGAAATTATTATTTACTGGACATTTGTCTTTTACTTTTTTAAACTTTTTTGTTTTGTTTAATTCAACATTACTAATTGAAGGATTCAATGCTTCATTTGAATTGTTGCCATCTTTGTAATATTTAGACGAAAGATTATTTTGTTTAGTAGACCAATCGAAATGTGGTATATCAGTAAAATTAGGAAATGAATGCGCGGCACATATTGAACGACCTAAATCCATGTAAATATTTGATAATGTAGGATAACTACAGTTAGTAAGTTGATCTTTTTCAGGAACAGACGTGTATTTTATATTATTATTGTTGCTATGTTGCGAATGTAATTGTTCATTGGTCTTTAAATCTTGAAATAAAAAAGTTGAGAAAAATGTGTAAATTTATGTTTTTGAATTGAAAAAGATAATAGAGATGTTGTATTAAAAATAAATTAAAGTAACAGTTTAAATATCTCATAATACTGTTTATTGTAACTCATTTAACACAATAACCACAGAAAGGTAAAGAGAGAGAGAGAGAGTCTAGGGCCTTTAAAGACCAAAACAGCCAATTATGTTCTGAGTCCTATTTTCGTCGGCTCTATTACATTACTCAGACATTTTAAAGGTAATTTTCGTCACGGGCTGATATTAGCTGAAAAAGCGTGGGGACCCCTTATCGGGGAGCAGCAATAAGCCTATACTATCTTGAAAATGAGCCAAGAGGGTCTCCACGATAAAGGAGTAATATTGAACTAATGAAATGATATCAGATTATCCAAATGAACAACTTCAGTTAAACTGTGACATAGGTTGACCATCATTTAACATTATCAGGGAGTAATTGCCTTACTCTCGAAGTGGGTAGTAAAATGCGATACTATGAAAAATAACCTAAAGGGCTTGGTGGGAACGTTTTTATTTATATTATTTATTTCAACACATAAATATTGATACAACGAGGCACCAAATATATATGCGCCACACAAATTTGATTTGATTTGTGTGTGGACTGTGATACCACTCGATGCCCAAACAAAAGCAGGTGAGTTTCTCAAGAGGCCACACCCAGAACCTTCGACCTAAAGGTTTGATCCTTAAGGCAGTGGAGCATCGTAAGGAGATGCAATCCCATGGTAGCCGGTGACCAACGATTGGTTCATACGCCATTTGTTCCTTCAGGATACTGGAGCCCATGTGCACCATTGGTCTGGAATCAGGTTTTTTCAACTCCCCTAGTTGGATCCTCCATATCTACCGACCCGGTTAAAGCGCCGGACATTCGCTTTTCGTTCACAATTTCGTAAACAACACCCCGCCGTGAGAATGGCTGTATACGTGTGGCCGTGTGAGAGCATTTCGAGAGGGAAAGCTAACTTTTCCCACCCTCGGTCGTACCAGGGCATGTGGGGGCGTGCAATCCCTAAATACAATTTATGAGAAAGAAAATCAATATCGATTAAGATGACTTGCTGTTACGTTGAATTATTCAATATAGACTCTACTTATGAACCTTTAAAATATTTTTACTATGATTTTTGTATAGCGACAAATACTCAATTCAGCAATTCTAATCTTTAGTAATTGACATTTATTTGTGAGACCGGAAAGAAGAGGATAAAAGTAGTCTCGTTACTCATATTGAAGTCAGGGTTGCGAAATCTTAGCATAACCCATGAATGTAACAGCACTATGAACACTCATATGACTATAAATTGTTCAAAACAACGCTAATCGATCTACTGTTACGAAAATAACTATGATAACTCATAGGAGTAAGGGGTCACACAAGAAATATGAGTAAAATAAAAGCGAATTCAACCACGATTTAGGTACGTATGGCATGCTCTTTGTATCTTTAAGAAAATAAATAATGGAGTGATGGACTAGTAGTGGGTTGAGAATTCGGTTTTCGACCAATAGGTTGCAGACACTTGTAGGCAGAGATCGGTGATGGTTAGTATTAGAATCCGGGACGCACGTTTCATCGTACGTAGGACTAGTCAGCTGGATCTCAATATTGACGTCCACTCCAGGACTAAAAACCGATGCCCTTTCCTTAAAACTCTTACAAGTAAATTAAGACAAGTTACAGGTTCAAATATCATTTTATCTATTTCTGCTCCGGGTAACCGGCTAGTAGTACCGACTCTCACAGACGCTGTTGCAGGAAGTGAATTACACAAAGCCATACTTTGCAAATGAGTTAGATTTGATAATATGGAAGACTGCACTATTCTGTGTGCGTCATATGTCGTACATAAAAACTAAGCGCTACACTAAAAAACTCATTGAGAACAGTCGATTTTACAAAACTGAATTAAAAGTAAACCGTTACATATTTACTGACACACACACATAGGCTTTCCTAAACTGGATAAATTATCTAATGCTTACTAGCCTTCAATGGTACTTTAACTGGAATGTGAGGTGTAAAGAAAGTCCTCTCTGTTAAATGAATAATCAAGTGAATTTGTTTCGCATAGTATATCTAACAATGATCAATGAAGCTGTTAAAACATGTACATATTATAAGCTATAAAACATTTTTAAAATAGACGGTTTGCGGTTAACAGTGGAATCCATGACGTATATTCAGTCCTATTGGTGTTAATCAAACTGATGTACCTGGATTCTAATGTTGATGTTGTCGGGAATCGAATCCAGTACTATTTACTCCAAAAGCTAACGTGTCATCCACTGAGCTACTAATATTTAATGTCAGAATCAATCAAGAAATAAGGAAAGGAAATTTGTTGAAATACTTTTTGCTGTGAACTCTATATTTTACCAAAATATCATATTGAATAAAGCCATTAATAATAATAATAATAAAAATAATAATAATAATAATAATAATAATAATAATAAATAAATAAATAAATAAATAAATAAGTTCAAATATCCCGTTTTTTCAACGTGTATGATTAACAGATCAGTACTTGTAGGAGTTTTAATTATCCCATTGCTGACCAGTCTTAGTGGACAATAGGTGAGTATTGCCTCGATATGGCTATATTGTCACAAGTTTTTTCTAGAATGGATGGACTGTGTCTAGCAACGGACAACAGGACAACTCAAACTCTTACCAAGAAGAGTATAAAATACTTAATATGGCATTTATGGTAATAGAAATAGAGAGAGAAAAGACGAAGTATTTACTTGGATATGACTTCGGAATCATATAATCGCCTAAATGATGTTCAACAACAAGTTCAGTTGACCGGATATGGGGATTTGAGAAACGATCCAAATCGACATAAGATGTTAAATCATAAAATTCATTGAACCAATCAACTCTATAAGATAAAAAAATAAAAGACATTTGAATTACAGTGGATTTTTGAAAAACATTACTCCTACTTGCTGAATATTATTTGGCAAACAAAGGGGGGAGTAAATAAGTTTTTATATTGTTCAGGTCTTAGTCAAAATCATGTGTACGTTTTGCTTTGATTCAGCTTACACATTAAACACAGTACAGCTTTGAGATCAATTGGATAAGCCAGCATTTGTTACGACATATTAGGCATACGAATTTGATGTTAATGATCAGACAACGTTAAAATACTTCAACTTACCACTATTCATAACAGCCCAAATGAAACAAATAAATGGAATTTTTTAGTCGAAAATGAATAATGTATAGAATTACGAAATAAAAATACAAACACATATTCACTGTTATTACACCTGTCACGTTAATTCATTCAGAGTTTCCTGTCAATGGTTTCTTATATCAATAATCCCTACTAGGATGGCTATATATTTGCAAATATTTCAGTTACTGACTTCACATACTCTTACTGCAAACGAAATAGGATGTCAAGATAGGTAGAATAGTATGCATTACATCAGTCTTAATCATCAAAGCGAGTTTGGTACCGTGACCCCACCCATATTCAACCTTATCCCTATTAAATTTATGGTTAAAATATAGTAGTTGGATTGATTGCTAGCGAAGAGGAGAGAGCACTACATGTAAATAAAGTGGTTTGGGCACTTAACCACTTCATTTCTTATATATAAGTGGGCTAGCGAATACTCGTTTTAGAGAAATAGTTTGGCACTAGGAACCGAAACTCTCCAGACGTATAGAAAGCTGTACTTTCTAAGGGTTATTATTCAATGTGATCAATTTATTTATATGGTTTAAACTGATATTAGGGAACCCTGTAAAGATTCATTGGGTCAAGGAGCAACGAAAAGTAAGTACTTTTGGGATATCCTAAACTAGGGAGAATTGATTATCCAACGATTTATGGATTCCCAGAATTTTTCGAAAAACTAATTTCAAACAATAAATTTCATTTTACCACTTCAAACACCACTCACCTGATATCATTTGACGGTAACACAAGGCATCGATCATTATAAAGAACTGACTTTTGTGTTATATCCATTGCTCTGGGTAAACATTGTAAGAGATCACGAGAGCACCAATCAGTTAGTGAAAAGCGACTTGTTGGTAAACGTGCCCAAGCGTCCAACCAATGTAAATAAGCATCACTACACATATCCCAGATACAACCAGACAGTGAAGCAGCGACACTGGCTAGAATTTGATCTGTGTCTGAATGAAAGAGAGTTGGTATGTCTGATTTGAATGTATCAGTCTCATCTATTAAATACCTTGGAATTAGATGATTTTTTATGAAATCATATAGTGTACCAGACCATAAATTAGGACGATAAATGCGTAAAAATAAACTTATTGCACACTGTTTTTCCCAATCAGAAAATTTATTAGAATAATATCTGAAAAAGTCAAAAGGTAAAAACCATAATAGATACTTGATAGGCAGATAAGAATAAATATTATATTTATTTATTTGAACACATAAATATTGGTACAAGAGGGCACCAAATATATATGCAACACACAAAACAATGAAAATAGGAAGAGAGAAAAAAGAAGGTAAGAAGTGTAAAAAATAGAACAATAACGACCAGATCAGTGTAAGGTAGTGTAATAATAATAATAATAATAATAATAATAATAATAATAATAATAATAATAATAATAGTAATAATAATACTGGGGAAAACGGAAAGGTACAACCAGAAGGATTCTTCCAGTTAAAGAACAAACAACCACTTTTACGAAGAAAGTAAAAGAACATTACAGCAGGATCGCCACTGGCTTCTATTCTGAGCCATATCTGATAACGTCTCTAGCCACTGTGTAGCACCATCTCTCAAACCCCAACCAGGGAGTCGTGAAGGACCAACACAAGCCAGTCCTTTGCAGCTTTCTTTCATACCACGACACGATGTCATGCACTGACCACCTCTCCGATTTTTCCAACCAGTCCCAGAGTCGGCAAATAATGCACGACGTGGAATTCTCTGGGACGACATTCGGAGAACATGTCCAAGCCACCGAAGTCCGTGTTTCAAGATGGCGACAACAATTGAATTATCATCTCTGTACCCGAACACACGATGCCGAACCTCTGCATTACTGACATGGTGTTGCCACTGGATGTCAGCGCTCCTTCGGAGACAACGATGACCGAACACAGAGAGTCCTCTAACGTCCTCAACTCGGAGAGACCAGGTTTCACAAGCTCTCACCGACGCGTTGTAGATCCGACCATTTACAGCCAGACTAACATCACGAGGGCGCCAAAGATGGCCCAGATTGGCATAAGATGCTCGGACTTTCATTATACTTGCACTGATTTCATCACTCACACCCCCACCAGCACTTATGCAGCTACCCAGATACACGAACTTCTCGAATACTTCTATATGCTCACCATCCAGAGTGAGTACAGGATTAGAGTCCTGTCAGTCTTGTAGAAGTACTTTGCACTTCGAAGGTGCAAAGCTCATACCGTACCTACGAACACTGATCGCCAACTGATTAAGTGCGGATTGCATGGCTTGGGCATTATCGCACAATAAGACAATATCATCCGCATACTCAAGGTCGAGAAGTCTTTATCCAGGCAATAGATCCACACCGCCATTACTTACATTCATCAGAGCTGTTTCCAGAATTTCATCGATGGCAAAGTTGAAGAGGAATGGTGAGATTGGGCAACCCTGTCTAACCCCACTGCTCGAATGGAACAATGGAGAAAGGTGGTTGTATGCCCTCACTCTGCCTGAGGTGTTTGTATATAGGGCCTTTAAGATGTTGATGAACTTCTCAGGCACACCCTTCTTCAATAGACATTTCCAGAGAACAGTCCTATCCAACGAATCGAAGGCAGCTCTGATGTCAAGAAACACTACGATTGTTGGCCTGTGATAAGTATGACAGTGTTCTAACATTTGGCGGAGGGTGAAGATATGATCAATACATCCTTGACTAGAACAAAAACCAGCCTGCCTGAAATCTGGGCACATAAAGTACAGTTTATAGTGTAACCAGTTACGTATTGTTTCACAACTAGCAAATAATACCAATACAAATATATTGAGGTCAGTATTTGACAGAAATGGGGTCATTACTGAAATGCAAATTTTATCCTAGAATAAGAAAACAAGCAATTTATTATGATTTAGTTATAATTTATGTGAAGGACATGTTTCAGTCCCATGCCGGACTAGGATTAACACAAATGATGACTTATGGGTCTTCCTCACGTTGTTACTAACTTACAAAAGTCAATAGATCTAATGAAGTTATCATTAATGAGCCTAAAATATCAGACCACAATATACAATAAAGTAACAATAAACAACGAGAGCAATTAGGTAAGAAGACTATATGATGCCTAAATAATTAAAAAAATTGCTTCTGAACAGTAAAAAGATATCAGTTAGATTGAGAAATCAAAAACTAACTTATAAATATGGTTATATTATATATTCCTAACTATTTTGATATGTATGAAATAAATGAAAAAAATACTGCCGCACTATTATTGAATACCTATCGGGACGATAGGTATGCATAAAATATTCTTTACACCATTAATCACGGTTATTCACTGAATTTTATGAAATAACTGAATAATAGTCTAGAATCTGAAACCTAGTGAATTACTTCAATCTGATCTAATCGTTTAAAAGAACCCATTTTTACAGTTTACATCAAAAACTGACCTTAGTTAAACAACCATTAAGAAATAAGAAGTACTGGACAGCTTTTTTGTCTTAGTATAGGACTTTTAGGAAGTGCACATCCACTAACCCACTCGGATTTGAACCCAATACCTTTAGATTTCTCATCCAGCACTAATTATTTGAAACTAAAACTATAAACCATTGGATGGTGACCCACTGGTTTGAAGGTTAACTATAAAATCAGTCTCTGTAAACCTCACTATTTCAAGAAGCTATTTTATTTACAACCGAATTAGGTGACTAAAAATGGATAAATCTATGTAGTTGGTGAGAATATAAATCAACAGTATTGGTACCTCTACTTAATCACTTAATACGAACAAAAATGAGACGATTCTAGTTTTAAAAATTTTCAACAGCTCTCCAAATAAATGTATTAACTACCCACATTACAACAGGAATGTAACATAGTTGTGAATAAAGTACAGATGACATTGCATAAAGAAAATGTAATTTATCTATAAACTTACCGTGACAGTGTTTGAACAAAATCACGCGAGTGACTAGAGAGCTTTTTTACTTTACGATAAGTATTTATATTGTGCACTAATTGACTACCGCCATATTGTAAGGCCAGTGTATCTCCATGTTCATCATATAAATCCTATTAATTTTTTTTAAAATCCAAATAATAATGTGTACAAATGATCAGTATGTGTGTGTGCATGGGGTAAAAAAGATTAGCATGACTGTTTGCTAAAATCTGAACTGTACTGAAGTATACAAGCAGCTAGCTTTTGTTTGATAAAAGATTGTAAGCTGGTGGAAAACGTTCAAAGAATCACAAAAAAAAGGATTCTAGAAATCTTAGAATATTTATATGATGCTACGATACTTGAATACAATCTGTTCATTTTAACAAACAGAAGAATTTGAGATAGTTTGATTAAGGTTATCAGATTACTTAATAATATTCTACATCTGACATCATTCATTTTCCAAGGTTTTATAAATCGTAAATTTATAGACACAAAAGAAGACTCAGAACTAACTACTTGTTATCCGCATTTCATACTGAGTTTTTGACGAGTGAAACTCTATGGCCCAACAAGTGACAACAACTCATATATGTGCCGAAAGAAGTTAAATTAAATGACAGAAATTTATCACCACGATTAACATAAACCATTTAATTTTGCCAACTCAAACTGATTAATCAAATCAATGCAAAATTCGAATCATTTGAGTTAATGGTTCAAAAGTAGCAGAAAATAATCAGGGAAGACAAATCAAGAGAGCAGAACTATAGTACTTAATTATTGTTCATCATCATCTACATCAGGATTAAAGGTGAATAAATTTGGCGTATCCAGCGAAAATGAGTCGAGATAGGTTAATGAACGCAGACGAAAATTTATGTATGCTGTAATGTACATTCCTCTATCCCTGTGTGTTTGATATAATACACTCTGTTTGCGTCTTTATTCGGTTACTTGATCTCCTGTTGGATATTTGAACGACAGAGTATTACACAATTAAGAGCTATTCTAGATTTTAGTCTTAACAACCTGATTATCTAAAAACTAGTTTGCAGTTTAAGATCGATAAAAGTGCTTATTTTTTCATCGTAACAGTATTTAAATGACCAATATCGATTTTTAAGGATGATGTTAGCTGACCATGGTGTTGTGACGTACGTGACACTTTTTTTTTTCATTTACCCACAAAACAAACAAAAATTATCGGGTGCTACTAAATCACGACCGGATAATTAAGAACCTTTGTTAAATCTCAAACACCAGCGTACATTTAAGTTTACAAATAAGATCAAGATTATTCAGTTGGTTAGTAGATCTGACCATTGCTTTTATACTTAACTGAGAATACTATTCAAAATAAATATTCTAGAAGAAATTCATAGACATGATAGAGTGTAATGGATAGTTATGAAATCCTTATTACACATCATTTCTATCGTTTGATATTGTTCGAAGTAAAAACTACGAATAGGAAACACATTACCTTTTATTCGAGTACGTTAAAAACTAAACTAAATGACTATTTTTACACCATGAGATCTCATGGTTATAGAAAACTATATCGATGCTTGAAAAGAATTAGGCTTTTACCATTTTATTGTTGCAATACAATATTTAACAAAAGTATAAACTACAGTTTCGAAATATTTGAATTACTTAATCTAGTTGAATGATATATGAAGATAAGTTCGCTTTAAAAACAGCTTTCATGGTAGACTGAATTCAGCTGTAGAACAATGGGAAACCACGAGGAAATGGACCAAATGTTTCGTACTAGTTTGAAACTTTAGCATTCTTCGGTGCCAAAGGTGAATTTCAGAAAACGTCTTTTGGAAGGGTAGTATTAGTTTCCTGAGTTATACAAAGAGGTTTAGGCACTCAAAATTGTCAGTATTAGGATATATATAATCAATATGGTCCCAACCTCTGAGTTACTTATTGCAATACTCAAGAACTAGTGGTAGTTTTAAGTTATCAAACTGTCAGAAACTTAGTTAAAGTGATGAATCTACTCAGTTAATTTTTTCATAAAATACATAAGGGTAAGAGAGTAATAACAGAATTGTGAACGTACTTTCTCCCTCTAGAAACAGTATCATGATCAATGAATCCCGACCAGTAAAAATATGGGAAAACGATGAGACATATTTGTAGTAGACTGACGCCTAAAAAATACCTATTATACACCAGGATCAATATATTTTCCAACAACGTCCCACTGTTCAATGATAATTACAAATGAAAATCTTGAAATGCTTAAGTTTATGAAATGAGCGGCACTATCAGCGAAGGATTTAGCAAAAGGGATAAGCAATCTCATTAATACCAATAGAAAGAATTTACAGAAATTAACTATTATTTACAAAAGAGAAGTAATAAATAGCAAGTTACCTGTAGTAATCGATCGATTTGTGAGTTATCCATAAAATCTGGCTCAGCTAAAAAGCCTAATCCATACAATTGATAAGCTAAAACAACTCGACCGATAACAAACTGTGCAGTGTTAGTTCGATCTAAACAGTCCACACAATTTACTCGGATTATTCCACATTGCTTAGAGCTGGAAGAAAATAGCAAAACATAAGATTATTAGTTGAGAAACATGAAACCTGATGAAGTGCATCAGTAGTAGTAACAGTACTCAGCCAATAATATTAGTGAATCTAAAATGGGATCAGGTTGTGGTAGCTAGTAGTTAACTGACAACCAACTTGTTAAATAACATTAACAATAAATAACTGCAGGGTTCAAAATGAGGTCACACGAAAGGTCGTAAAAGACTGCTCAATTATTATCATACTTGTTTGACATGGTGATGAAATTTTCATAACTAATGCATTTAGTTTTAAAGAGAACTCCAGAAAATCATGTTTGAGACCCACATTTACAAAATTGACAAAATACACCATTTTTAGAAGTGATACGCGAAGACCATACAACAAGGTTTGTCGAATTCCCCAAACACATCAGGATTACTTAGCTGATAAAAACAAGTGTAAGCATCAGAATGAAATATTTGAGTGGATCCAATGGCAATATCCATTCTAATACTGTTTGAATCAATTTAAATGTCCATAAATCAGATGATTTATTAGCAAAACTGTTCGACAACAGAGTTGTTCTTAATAACATAATCAGCTTAAACTCTATTTCCTTTTTAAAACTGTAACCAGTGTGTATCTACATGATTCTGTTAGTGGCAATTAACATGAAACCCTACATAGTTTGGTATTTGATCCCAATACTAGGTGTTGTCACTCAATATCCGTCCGTCAACTAAACGATGGGTTTAATGAGCAGCAGTTCGCTCTATTCTACTTTATATTTGAGAAACGTGAACTTTAAAAATAGATATTCTTAGGTTACTAGTATTTTATCATACGTTGCTTCGAACCATTGCTCATATATTTCAGGACCATCAAGTTAGAGATTTTGAGGCTAAACGCAGAGTACAGGTATAGCAAATCGACTGACAAGGTTGTGAACCGTTACTATCTGGAATGGTTAGAATATGTATTACGTGTTCTCATTCACCAACTACTTTGACGTGCAATGATGGCCGGTATAAGAGCAGGTCAGAAGAAAGCTACCAGTGGCCAAACCAAAGCATCAGTCTATTAAGACACTGACTATTGAACTAGGTCATGTAGTTAGGTGCAGACTACTTGGTTCGGGTCCGCGTGAATATCGTAATTAGTTGTTAGAGACTGGATGGTATGGCTAGGAACCGCTGACAACGGAGCAGATACACTCACTATTTGTATCTTTTTAAATCGTAAGTTTCTAAACTTTTCATAATTTTGTTTGTTTTGGTTTCATTAAATTACACATTTTATAGGGTCGTATCCTCAATGTTTAATCGTTTCTATTATCACTAGTGATGTTATTACTTCTACTACCTTGATATTTGCCCTGACTATTTCATCTCTGCTAATAGCACATGTCAACGTCGACCGATGTACATATGTTTCAGGTTCTAATTTTCATTTGACTGACAAACTGAAGTGCTATTAATTCACCTACATCAAACGGTTTGGGATAAGTTTGTTATACTATAGAAATTAATACTAGTTACGCATATATAAAATTATAATTAGAATTTGGGCAGATGTCCCAAAACAGACTAGTATATAGAACACATTTTTTGTGTCATTTATAGCTGACTGTAATATGTGGTACTTGAGTTTAGACTAGAGTTATGAAAAGAGGACACCAATTAGAACATCAGAGTACTAAATAGCATGTCAGAGTTATGAGTTGTAAACATTGGGAAAACTATTATGATAGAAACCTCATTCTTATTCGATTTAGTTCCCTTTACAAAGCTTAGGCAGTCTGCAATTCAGTTTATAAACAAGTATATGATTACTTAGTTGTATTGATTGTCGCATTCTCTTTTATATTCTTTAATGTGAAGTTGCAATAATTCCTTTGAACAACAAGAAAAATTGGTACATAAGACTGATTGTTCCATGTGAAATAAAATACGCTGCATGGTAAATCATATAAATTTTGATAAAACAGAATTTTATTAACTCTCTTGAAGAAAAAAATCCATTTAGACACAGAAAAAAATGAATAGAACTCGAATATTTCTTCACAACGAGTCTGTCATATTGGCTCTCCACTAATACATGTGTTTAATAATAATAATAATAATAATAATAATAATAATAATAATAATAATAATAATAATAATAGAATCGAGACCAATGAAATACTACTGTATTCGATAAGAGTATTGTGATGTGTGCTACTGATATCGACAGATATAAGTAGTATGTATCATCAATAGAAAGTGGAATACCTGGAGGCTGAAGTTTGAGAAAATCGAAAAGAAGAGAATGGGAACAGAGAGTGATTGGTATGAAAACGAAGGAACAACAAAGTATGAGACAATTGATGGACACTTCTCAAATGAAGTATTACTGTACGGTTCTCAGATGTTACTAAGAGATTTTGTAATTTAATATCCAAGTACGTTTGGTTGTCTCCACTGGTGTTCTCCTAAAATACAGTATTACCAATATTATTGTATTACTACTACTTGATACATTTCTAATTAATTAACATTGATTTTATCAAAGCTGTTAAACATACATATCGTTGTAGAGTCAAAATGAAAAACTAATTGGATAGAAATATTTCATTGTTCTATCCATTCTTTTTTTTAAACAAATAACTTACTTGAAACCAATTGTTCTATGTTTTTCAAATTGAATTTCTGAGATAGGTAAAGAAGCAGATGATGAGAAATATATTCCAGTACGACGTACACAATTGTCTATAATAGGTTGTAATTTATTTAAAACAACAGTACGTTTCATTTTTTGTACACGAGCGATATCAAATCCAATGTACATAATAGGTGGACTACTATCAATTGTTTCGATAAAAAGTGTATTTAATGAATCAGATGGTTGGAGAATTCTAGAAGGTAAAAACTAACAGAAGAATATTCAAGAGAATTATAATTATAATAAGTTCATATTTTGAGACTAACAATGAGTCAAAAACAAAAACAAAGAAATATTCTGATAACCGAGACTGAAATGTTTGATTTTTTTATAAAAAAGCCAGTAAACTCAAGTAAATAGAAGTTTGCACTGTAAACTCTGAAGTATGTTGTTCAATGCCTCTTTGATTATAATACAAGACACAGTAGAAGTAGAAATGGTGTAGTAATCAAATAGTGTATATATTTAATGGCCACTGTAGTGTTCCATCAGAGTAAGCAGTCAAAATAATTCAACCAATAACTTAAAAGGATGATTTCTAAATCAGTCTTAACCTATCACAATGAATAAAGATACAGACAATAAATCTAATGAGATAAGGCGACAGGTTGATACTAATAGTAGTACATTAGTTTTCATTGTTCTACATTTTTGATAGTGAACAGGAATATAATGTTAATATCTTTGATTTACAATAAATGTACTATTGGTGTCATTTAATATCTCTTCTATCATCGACTTTTGTCAATCCTAGTTACATAAACAGTTCATATGAACATTTAACTATTTAATGATTTGATAACAGTATGATCAGCAGTTTAAAAATCCCCATAGAATATTCAAAAATGAAAAATATTTGAGTGAACAATTGTTTTCAATAACTTCATCATCAGACTCTACAGTTATAAGTCCATAATTATAATATTTTACAAAGGCCAGAAATAAGGCATGTATTAATGAATTTGACAATGTTATGTGTTGAAAACATTATGATCAACAAAAAATAACGTTTACCTTGTGAATCACTTTCATTCACAATCACTAGATGACGTACATACAAAAACGGCATTGGGTCTTAACTATTAATGAAAAATTCTAAGATGTCTTTCTCTAAATTAGACTACACCATTTGCTAAAATTTATTTCAATTACAATAAATACATAACATTATTAGCTTACTTGACTTAAATAGGTAATTCCACGTTCAAATCTATCAGATAAAATTGTTTCAAATTGTCTTTTCTCTCGTTTTTTCATTAAATTAAGCACAATAACTGGAGATCCATGACGTTTAAGTAAACTAGAAAAATGTAAACCCATCGATTCATAGAATGGATCATCACGCTGAAGATACGGAAAATTAATTACAATCATTAACAAATTAAAATCCCAATAAAAATACACCAACTAAAGTACAATTAATCATTAACTATTCTGTGATTTTAAATAATACAAACTATATTCTCCTATACAGTACTGTCCATAGTTTTTAAGACAGTGGAATTTCGAAAAGATTTTGAAAATATATAGTTACTTTACTAAGTCGTTGAATATGAAACTGAAATATACTCTATGATAAATTTGTTCAGTTTCATTTATCTGAAGGCCCTTTTGTGTGCCACGATATACTACTTACTAATATAGAGTAGTTAATGTTCCACCATTTCTATTACTTGTATGCTGGAACAAATCATGGTGTTCTAACAGCACTTATCAAATCATTTTCTGATCCTATTTGAGTTATTAGTCCTTCTTTTAATTTTATCGATATTTCCTCTTATTATTATTATTATTTAGGATTTCTTTTGTGTACTACACTTTGAAATTTTGTTTATTTTGAATGTTTTGTTAAATCTCCCAAGAAGGTTTAAGTTACTTTCGTTAATAGTGCAACAATGGTTGCAATTGCATAGCTTCTGAGGGGGAGATATGAGGAATCACTATGCCCTAACGTTAAAAAAGTGATAGAAACATATTCTTGGGACCTATACGTGCTCTTTTGGAAGATATCGAAAAATGATGTACTAACTAAACTCGTATTGAAGCAACGTAGTCAATAATTTAAGTGACTCGATATTACTATAATCACGTCCTGATGAAGGATAACTGGAAGTATTCATCAGAAAGTTCTGCTCCAGTTAGGAGTCGTCAGCAAAACATGTCAGCACTCTTGAGAGGATAGAGTCACACAGTGTCAAAGTTAAGGATACAGACATCGCAAAATGAGCAATAAAAGGTAATAACGTTAGAACATGTTGATGTGTCACTGTTTAAAAATGTCATAAACTTACTAAAATTTCTAAAGGCGGTCTGCCAACAACAACTTTAGAAGACTCCTGTGACCAGAATAACGGTACAGAACCACGCATTTGTACATATGATGAAACGCGTCCATGACGAAGAAATGAATATGAGCTATCATGTACTATTTGTTCTGTTTCCACCTGAAGAAAAACCCATTTAAATTCACCTGTAAGACATTAGACATTGAAACCTATGAAAAAAGCACATATTAAACATCTAGTTGCTATTACACGATCACACGGTGGAAGGGTAGACACAACTACATTCCCCAGGTATAAATGGATATAGCTGAATTGATTCACAATAAGAAAATGTAAAATTGTTATCAGACAGACCTTTCGCTACATTTAATCAGTAATCAGTAAGTTATCAGATACACTATCTATTTTGTAAGCATGAATATTGTACTATATATGCTACAGGGAAGCACAAGTAGCTAAAAATCGTTAGCATTATTTATTAGAAAATGATCATAAGTGGAATTACTGGGATAATTTAGACGCGTCAAACAATTATTAAATAATCGGTTCCCTTTACTGTGGCCAACAAACACCTTAACAGTTTATATTACTTACCACTGATGTTTTATGATTATTTCTAGAATGTCCAAAAATTAGACTAAAAAGAAATTTGGATTTTGGTGTAAAGACCAGTGACAAAAAAATAACTTTTCCAAGTAGGACTATTGTAAATTCAATGGATAAGTAACGATAGATTACTTTGTACTGACTGATAGAAATAGTATTTACATGATAACTAGTTTGGTTCTCAGTTGAGTAGCACCAAACGTTGTTACTATTACTCAAACGCGTAAACATTGGTACAAGAGACACCATAATATATGCATCACATAATAAAAAAAAGATTGTGAAGAGATAAAGGAAGGTGCATACAACAAAAAATGAATAGAAATAAGTGCATGAGAGCGAATAATATTAATAATAGTCAGACAAGCAACTCAGATAAGAAAATTGCAACCAGCGAAAACTCTTTCATTAAAGAAATTGCACACACTTATATGAAAGAAATGAAAAAAGTTACAGCGGGTCCACCACTCGCTTCTCTTCTGAGAGATATTTGATAACGTCTCATACATGTAAACTGATAGACACAATCGCTTTCGTGCTATTTGGGCTTTTGGGGAAGCATAGACCTTGTCTTCTCTATAGTGACAAGTTGGGCTGCATAAAATGTCCGATTGATAGCTAATTTAAGTCTTCGTTTCAACATGAGACTATTTGTGTCACCTGTGAATGGTAACGTAATATAAAATCGCTTTTTGGGTGCCAGAAGCATCATAGGTCTAGTCGTATTGCAACCCTTCCAGCGGTTTATGAACTTCAAAGAATAACCATTATTGATTAATGCATCAGTCAAGAGCTTCATCTCTACTTCAATAGTATCACTAGTACAAATACGATTGATTCTATTGAATAAGCTCTTTATTAAACCGCGTTTGTAATGAATAGGGCAGTGACTATGGAAACTAAGATATTGTCCTGTCCATGTTGGTTTTCTATATATAGAACGTTGGATGGAACCATTATCTCTCCTACTAATCAGGATGTCTAGAAAAGGAAGTTAGTTGTTCTTCTCTTCTTCACATGTAAGAGAAATGTGCTTTTGACTACTATTGAATTCTTCTAACAAGCGGTTTATGTCTTCACTTTTATCCCCTACAATTATTATGTCATCTACATATCGTTTATACAGACCCATCTTTCGAATTGAGTCTTCAACTAAATTTTCAACATATCCCATGAACACATCAGCCAGCAATGGTCCTAGAGGGCTACCCATAGCTATACCATCTATTTGTCTGAAGTGTTCACCTTCAAATGTGAATTTTACATTATCTGTACACAATAATAATTATTGTGCGTCTTCGATGCCATGCTGCCATCCAAATTAGTGGATCAGCGCAGTCACGATCCAAGTATCCGAAACTTCAGTGTTGGCGACAAAGTTTACATTAAATCCTACATCGGGAAGAACCGATGGGAGCCGGGCGAAGTTGTGCAAAAACTGGGAAGAGTACTGTACAGAGTTCGAGGAGCTTTTGGGACATGTATACGTCACACAAATCAAATCCTTAAGGACAAAAGAACGGTGCAGACTCGAAGTAACCGGCCGATTTTCCCGTTAGATTTAATCTTAGACGCACCAATGCCACAAACGCCCAGGAACATTGAAAAGAAACCTTGGACAAGGAAGACGACAAGAATAATGGGACGCCGTCGCAACCCAGTCGTCAAACTACAAGTAGATCCCAGAAAGAAATCTTATTCGGGGGAGGTGTTGGGTCGGCTTCCGGAGAACTTCAACGGAGCCTCCAGAGGCCCAGAAAGGAGCCAAAGGGCCCTAGCCAATCAGAGTATGATGGAACGTTCGAGAATTCCAGCTTGGCGTGCTACCATTGGTCGGTAGCATAATATGACGTTAACGGGTTGGCTGAAATATGATGATGATTTAACAAACGCCAACATCTATAAATACCCTTGATTTTCTGTACTAAAATGAACCTTGGGATAAAGTGTTTTCTCTCATACTTGTGTCTTCTCTCTGGAGTTCAAGTCGCTGTGTAGTTCTAGTTTGCGGGTTACGGGAATAGCTTAGGATTCGTATATAGCGTTCAACCTACACGACTTATCAGTCCAGTGCTTCCAGGTTTCCAATGGTGGTCTAACTTAGATAGGTTCATAATTCCAATGAAATTTAACAATCTCTGCAACCCTACGCTGGAAATTTACCGATTCCGTGAAAGAATCAACTTAGACAAAGCCGAGAAATGTCAGAAATTCAATTTTCTACTAATTAGGATATTACAATTAAATCACTATTGTTGCTATGAAAATTTAGTAGTACTTTTATGCTCCTTGTACGACCGCTTCGCTGTTTATTACGAGCCACTCTATACTAAGGTTACCGTAAGGAGATGCAATCCCATGGTAGCCGGTGACCAACAATCGGTTCATACGCCATTTGTTCCTTCAGAATACTGGAGCCCATGTGCACCATTGGTTTGGAATCAGGGTTTTTCAACTCCCCTAGTTGGATCCTCTATATCCACCGACCTGGTTAAAGCGCCGGACATTCGCTTTTCGTTCACAATTTGGTAAACAACAGTAATGCCACGAGAAGGCAGTAAGACTTCCCTGGCAGAGGCTATATACGCGTGGCCATGTGAGAGCATTTCGAGAGGGAGGGCGGACTCTTCCCACTCTCGGCCGTATCAGGGCATTTGGGGGCATTCTTTATATATGATGCTCTTTAGTTGGATTCTAAATGATATTAATTAGTTTCGAGAATCGATTTTGAAAACGAATCACAATGCATAAGGAATTACCGTTATAAGAGAAAAGCTGCCTTAAAATTGCATGATAAAGTTAAAAGAACGGGCACAGAATCATACTTACTTCATTTGCAACATCACCAACCAGATTAACACCACGTTTCAAAAATCGCCGACCAGCGAAATGTCTTGATCTACGAGCAATAAGAGTAACCATCATTGGCATTCGGCAAGCAGATAAGGCTATTTGACTAATACTACCATGAAATAACAAAGTGAACCATTCAGGCTGATCACTAATGAGACGAGAGCCATTACGGTTATACCCTGGTCGAAATCTCGGTGGAATTAATCTCCAATTCCAAACATACTTATCATTGGGTATGTATTTTGATGTTAGCAGATGGATATATTCTTGACAATCAGACTTAAATAACTTGAAAACAAAAAGAAATCAGACAATTACACACGCTCTAAATAGCATGATACCTATGTGGTATAGCTTATGGAATAGATACTCACAGATGGGACAAGAATTAAGTGTGAGACTTGCATGTTCACAAAATTATGAGCATACTTTGACTGGCATATATGATCGAAAACTAACTATGTATCGTTAAATCACAAAGTAATAAGGAAATCTAAACGAGATGCTCTGTAGAACATATTTTATGAACAATAAATATATATTTTAGTGTTACACTGGAACAGTAATGTGAATAAAACTTGTGTATTTATTAGTGGAATGATATATTTTTTCATTGTGCAAAAAAGTAATATTCATAAGAACGAGAGGGAAAAATATAAATTCTAAAAGAAGTATATGTAGATGTTTCCAATAGCTGAGTGTTTACCACAATCCAAGAAAAAAGAGCAGGATATTTGGAGAACTACATCGTGTAATGTTGGATATCAACCATATCGATTACAGTTCGCCAGTATAATTAGAAACATCTACAACACTGATATTTTTGCGACAGGATTTTTTAAAGGAAAAACAATCTGGTTGGATCTTTAGTGAATTCGAAACAAAAGTATAGGTTTTTGGATCATTAGTGTGTGGTTGACATAGGTTCATGTCAATAAGCATGAATGATGCCCAAACATTTCAACAAGTTTGCTTAATAACTATAAGAAACTAGCCATCAATCAGTATTCTTGACGTTTCTCAACAAAGAAACTTTACATAGGTGTTGAAGAAAGCTAGATAGTATAATATAAAACCGTGTAATCAAATGTTAAGTATGAAATTTCTGTTGATCAAAAGGCAGGACGACACACTTCGACATTGATAACTCTCTTTTTAAATGGTATAGGTTGAACACTAACCCGTATTTGATCCCTTCTCTTCCATATAAATTTATTTCCACCTTGATCGCTTCCTTTAGGGTATCAGACTATACCACCCATTACTATTTGAGGGTTAATGTTGTTATCAACATCCGGATCTGGTAATATTTGATTCTTACCTATCGTAATGTACCACTAATACTAAGCAATTGCATTTTACCTATTTAAAAAATATTTACATACATATGATAGAATTCCTTTGCCCTTTTAATTATTTAGTTTATGTTATGGGTGTTACCCATTGAAACTTCGTTTATTCCAATAAAACCTATATTTTGCAAATTAGTGCAGAATAAATGCCAACTTACAGGCCTGATCAGGCTTATACAAATTTTTAGGTAGTAATAGAAATAAATTCAAGTCTACTTTATCTGGAATAACATGATCTCCAAGTAACTTAAAAATGAGTATTTTGAATAAATTTTACTAAGCGAATGTGAAACAGTGAGTGTAATAGATAGCATAAAAGTTTGAGTGGAATGATTTTACAGTACGACATTTAGTGATTGTTTACACTCCATAGCAAAAGATAGATTCAGTGGTGATAAACTTATCAATAGTGTACAAACTGATAATATATGCAGAAATACTAAGAATATGATATGAATGAACCGTTAGTTATGTTTTGATATGGACGGTAGTACATGTTCACTAAAGACAGTACATGGAACAGTTTGAGCACTATAACTTTCAGTTAGTTTATTTGCACTATTTCACCGAACCATTATTGCCGTTTGGGACAGAGTTGAATTAAGAGGTACTGTAGTATATCCAGTTTCTCGAAGAAAAATAGGTATAACGACGAAGCAGTAACATTGTTTATGGGTTCCAATCAGGTTACTGTCACATACTAAAATGCCTAATAGCTCCTAAGATACCGGCTAAACTTGAGAGGGCGATACCAACAAGAAAAAAGTCTAGCTTATAGGTTGCAAAACTATCACGTATTCTGGAGACCGAAGTACAAATATCACCAAGCAGTAAGGATAATAGCATATTGTGATTTTATTTCTTTCCAGTTATAACATGTATGTATTCATCAGCAACAAGAAAAATAACAAAAAACAGGATGAGGAGGAAATCGGTAAAAAGATTATAGAAATACGTCTCATACAACACTATACACACACATTTATTCTACCTCAAATTTTATGTATCTAATTATTTCATATCAGCTTGTTTTCTGCAATTTTTCTCACTTTTTTTTAACTATTTAGCCATTTGGTGATAACTAATGTACATTTAGTAGACAACGAAAATTAATAATAAATGAAATTATAGAACTTACAGGCTCCATATTATATTGTAAACTATGAGATAAATCATAGGTATAACTAAAGTAAAAGTTGCTAGCTAAATCTACACTGCTAAATAGCTTTAAATATCGCATTTCATCACTGGAGAGTTTCTTACGTCCTATAGAACTTTTAATAAGATGAAATAATCCTGTTTGTTGTTCATCTTCATTAGAGCAAGAATCGTTATCGAGATCTTGTGAAACTGTACTATTTAAAGAAGACATTGAAGAATAATGACTTCTGGAACCATTATTTGCAAGTTCACGTTCATCAACAAAATCATTGCCAGGAATATAAAGTATAGCAGTATCTTCAACCTTTGAATACAAGAAGATATAAAGTGTTGAGACCAATGTGCAATAAAAGGATAGTAAAGTGATTATACATCAAATTAGAAAGTCAGTGTAACAAGTTTAGATCATGATAATATTTAGAATGGGCTGTCATAGGAATTAACAATGGCGATTTAGATGTATTACATTATTGAAATTTATCAAAGGGACTAATTGCTTTAAATGGCGATTTCGTCAAACTATTTACCAATCAACTGGGTGTATCTGTTTCTGTCAGTGATATGCACTTAACAACCACCAAAGTATAATCATATGGGAATTTCTTACAAGGCGGAAAAGTTTATCAACTTTATTAGGTGTGTCAAGAACAGAAATACGGCTAGATATAGAATAGACGAAATATGGCTAGCAGCGGAATCTAGGACACGCGTTTTTTCCTATCGTCATAATGATCACATCAGGATAATCCGCGCAGGATGCCCATATGCCAACCAAAACTGATTGAGTTTCATTAAAAAATATCAACAATGAGGTAATCCAAACCATTTTAAATTGAGTCAGAAATACTAGTTTGAGAAGAAACGTACCGTTTATTTTCTGGAAAATCAACGTGTAGGTTGATAGGAAAAATCTACGAAATTAAGTTCCAAAACCAAAACACTCATTGTGTACGGGCTATCGATACTAACTATTTGCTTGAACAGAGTAAATTAACATATGAGACAACAAGAAGTTTTCATACAGAAACTAATGTAACACATAGTTTATTTCCATTTTCCGAAGGGAAATAGTAGGGATAATTATTAGTTTACGAGGCTTTTGACCGATTGTTTCTAACCAAATAAGTGACTAATCATAATGATACTTTAAAACAAAGAATAAATTGGACATCCTTCCACTTCATTTAATCCAGTCATTACAGTGCATCAAATTACTAAAACTTAAGTAAAAGTTGGAGGCTAAACAAATGAAGTGTTCTTCAATGCACATGATTAAATGTTTGGTTGGAGATAGTTACTACTACAAGGTAATATCTATCGCAAAATCAATGGAAATAATGAAAGGTTGTTCCGCACTGTCAGGCATATGCACTATGTCAAGACCTATCGATACTAATAAAAACCATGGAATTGAGTTTAGTGGATTCCATATCCTTTGAAAGTGTAGCTTCTAAACATTTAAAATTTTGATGAGACAAGTAATTAATGAAAATGTCTTTTTATGCGACTACAGGTAAGTAATTACTATGACATCGTAAAAATATAACCAATGATGATAATTTAAGTTGAAATAATAATGATTGCTTACCATATAAGTTGTTCATGAAGTGGTAAACTCCATGGAGAACTATGCTGTCAATTAAAATTTGAAAACTCCCAGTTGATGGAGTTGAAACTATGTGTCCTTTAGGAAGGGTCAAGCATGAAGTCATATATTGATTGAGTCATTTAATTCAGTTATTTTAAGCATAATAACAGTGTCTTATTAACTAACTAATAAAGCCCCGTTTTTCCAGCTGATTCGTTTTGAATGAAAAGAAAAACAAGAAAACGTTTAAAACGTGTACTGACCTTACAGATTTGATGTTCACCTAATTGTGCAACCACTGAGTATTTAGTAATTAAGATAAGGTAATAACCACGTAGAAATCGTACAACTCCAACGACCCCATAGCATTTTGTAACTAAAACTAGAGAACGTTTACTGCTGCCAGTGAACAGAGCAGAAGCTGCAGCTTGCTGTAAATCCTTTGGATTAGAAAGCATATTGTTAGATATATTTAAATTCGAAATAGATGAAGTTTCGTCGATTTTGGGCAAATGTTCCTGAGGCCGACGCTTTGAAAAAAGTGACCATTTAGGAGATTTTGATGGCTCCAACTTGTCGTTACCATGAGAACTAGTTTGTGAATGGAAATGCTACGAATATCAGAATATTTCACAGAATTACATAAGATAATTTATGAGTAGGGTTTAAAACAATATGCACAAATAAAACTGTAAGTGCAAATTAAAACAATTTTAATATTCTTATGACTACAAAACGAACATCATATATGCTATCTAAATTTCCATAATTTTGATGACTGGAGACATTTTTTACTCAAGTACACATAATAATTATTTGTCAGCAAAAATACATACTAATAGAATGAATGGGTTCTAAACTGATTGTCCAAGAAATAATTTATATTTAACTCATTCAATCATAGTTGCAATTAGGTCTGACACTAATGTATGTTAAGTTGCCATACCTCATATCAGTAAAGCGAACGAAATCGGAAAGACTAGAAGTAGAATGGAATAAAAAAGTAAATGCAACGACAGTGCACACAAGACAAACACATTTCGAAAAGAACAAAGCAGATCCAAGAAAGGAATCTGAGGAATGTCCCTTAACCCAAAGTCCAAGGGGAGATAGAGCATGAATGCAACTGCGCCACTGTGACCAATTTCGATCCATGTCACCCAGCATCTCCAGTTGTTGATCACGAGTATTACGTTGGTCCAAACTACGAAAAAAGTACCTTCCACCATAAGACGACGGGTCGACACTTCTTGTTTAGTTCATTTCCAACTATTCACAGCCCAGCCCTCAAATGCCCTGATACGGCCGAGAGTGGGAAGAGTCCGCCCTCCCTCTCGAAATGCTCTCACATGGCCACGCGTATATAGCCTCTGCCAGGGAAGTCTTACTGCCTTCTCGTGGCATTACTGTTGTTTACCAAATTGTGAACGAAAAGCGAATGTCCGGCGCTTTAACCAGGTCGGTGGATATAGAGGATCCAACTAGGGGAGTTGAAAAACCCTGATTCCAAACCAATGGTGCACATGGGCTCCAGTATTCTGAAGGAACAAATGGCGTATGAACCGATTGTTGGTCACCGGCTACCATGGGATTGCATCTACTTACGATGCTCCACTGCCTCGTGGATCAAACCGAAGGCTTCGGGTGTGGCCCCCTAAGAAAACCACCTGCTTCGGTTTGAGCACCCAGGTAGTATCACAGCCCTCACACAAATCAAATGAGATTTGTGTGGCGCATATGTATTTGATGCCTCCTTGTACCAATATCTGTGTTACAATAAATAAATTCGCAGCCCAATGGACATTAGGATAGACGGTATCTAGAAAAGAATGACAGAAGTCCCAATCACTTCAATCAGTAAGGGTTCATAAGCTCATCTACTGACTTTCCGCTTTCACTTAGTAGCCCACTTGGAGATTAGGCATTATCCAATGGGTAATTTTCATAGGCATGCGATACTTCGAAGACATGTACGGGGAAATAACTACAGCCTAAGTATATGTTGTGCTTCGACAGAGTACGCTTTAGTCGTACAACACTGATGCACATTACATTTGTCACATGACTCAGACAATCATAACCACATCAGCATAAAGGAAGTCGAAAAGATGAACAGTAAAAAAGTTGAAGTAATAATGGTATTAATGGTAGTGAGAAAGGCTAGACAAATTCCAAAAAAAGTGAAGAGTATAAAGATTGTGAAATAGTATTAAAACTCAAGAACATCAGAAAGACGAAGAGTAAGTGCACCAAAGTTACTGAGACTGACCACAATTCATATCACTTATTTTCCAACCACAGAGTATTATTATTAGATATCATTATCGTGCGGATCCTAGCCACCCACTATACACCTACGGTGTTTGGACACAAATGACAGCTCTTAGTTGACAGACAGGCGTTAGAAAATGAGACTAGGTCGAGAACTTACAAAATCGTGACTTATGGTACGACCAAATAGCTATTTCATTGATTGTTTATCAATTATAATTGCATTTTTTTATATTGAAAATTAGTATACAAAATTAGTTTAGTTTATTTTGGTTCGGAACCAATAATTATGACCGGCTACATAGTTAAGTAATCTGATCTAAGCCGTGTTTGTCTAAGACTATATTCATGAAGAGAAAGAAGAGGACAAGACGGTTATCTAAATCGAATTGTGTCACCTAGGATCTGACAGTAGTACATAATACCTCACGAAACTAAAAAGCAAAGTAGAGGAATTTTTACATAACTTTGTTGTATCCAGTAGTACATACCCGATAAATGAAATGGGACGATACTCACTAAAATTCTAAGTCGATATTGCAAACGTACCCGACTAGTTGCCTGGATAACATGCAGCAATCGTGCTAATTCTGATTTGGAATAAATATGAGGATCCTCAATTATATTCAGACGCCATATTCGATCAACTAAACTTTCTGCTTCAACAGTTGCTTCAGAAGCACTACACTCTTTATCAAGCCACAAGTGATCTTCCTTTAAGGGAACAGGAGCACGAGCGATCTTGAGAATTCGGAAATGGCGTTCCCCAACATCAGAACCAACGAGGTAGATGTGCGAGGGGCTTTCATAAACACTGATACTCCTCATCCAATTTATGTATGGTACCTCCATAGCTGAAAAAACGTACAAAGTGATTCTCAATAATATCGTTAGGGATAGAAAATTTCAACAAAAATGAGTGCATAAAAGTTGAAACGTATTTTAATAGTCACTCGGATGAAAATCCATACAAGAATCAGACACTAAAAGTGGGATAATTATTCACGTCTTCGCACATGGCTACAGCTCTCCTGGAAAACATATTCAAAAGTAGGTTCGATGAAGAGAGATCCTCATACCCAAGATGAATACAGGCTTTCCAGTGTGCTACATTTTAAAGGTTAAACTGAAACTGGGTAACTATACATTTATTACCTAAGACTTAGCTTCATCTAGTTTGTAGAAAATTCAGATTATTCTACTGCCTTCTCCAGTAAAATCATTTTTTAGAAAATACACCAGCTTTACAACCTATCAAGATATAAATGCTTGGCCGATATATTTATAGTCAATCATGGCATCTAAATGATCGCTCGACGAGACTCTAATTTAAGGACGACCTTTGAACGAATCTTGAGTGACCTTGACAATTATTAGCCAATCAGAAGACAGTTAGTATAAAGTGAGAATATATTGTAAGTAATGAATTACAGTGGATATTCTTCTTTTACATGATTTAAAAACTTGTTAATGTTTGATAAACGTTCAGAGGCTCTGAATTGTATAGAAACTCGTCCATAGGGTTAGTGTTGTAGCCTGTAAGCAGACACATCTTTTCTAAAATCCGATGTAAACCGATCGCATGTTAGCACCCTAACCCTAACCTTAACCTAACCCTAAACCCTAGTCTAACCCTAACCCTAACCAAACCTAACCCTCAACCCTAATCTAACCCAAAAACCCTAACTTTAGCCCTAAACCCTAATCTAACCCTAACCCTAAACCCTAACCTTAACCTAACCCTTAACCCTAATTTTAACCCCAAACCCTAACCCTATGGACGAGTTTCTATGCAATATGCATTATGAATTCAGAACTTCTGAGTCTTTATCAAACCTCAACAAGTTTTTAAATCATGTAAAAGAAGAATATCCACTGTAATTCATTACTTTCTTGTAATATATTTTTACTTTATACTGTCTTTTGATTAACTAATAATTGAAATTGCTCAAACGCTTCTCATTGGCTCGTCCCTAAATTAGAGTTTCGCCGTCCCATCTGTTGTAACCTCTCATTAATCACCTACTCTCTAAAATCCGCTGTGAACCGATCGTATGTTAGCAGCGCGTGTTGAACTTGGCTCCATGACCTTTAAAATTGCTCAAACGCTTCTGATTGGCTCGTCCCTAAATTAGAGTCTCGCCGATCGCTCTTACTTGTTGCAATAAGCCCCGCAACTAAACACCATATTGATACAGGAGCCAAGATCACGATCAGCGATATATGAACTTTGCTTGCTGATATAATGACCAAGGTCATAATTGACTGGGGAGTGAAAGGCCTACCATACATTTATATGCATAATTTTTTTATATCACCTAAGCCAAAATTATCCCCAAACGATTGTTTTCAATCCACAGGGGGTTGCATAAGCTCTACAGTTAATATGTATATAAAATAAACAAATAATTTATTTATAACTTCAACCCCAATTCTACTCTGAAATACCTAGTTGTAAATTCGTCTTTAAAAACTAGTAATCGTTTGAAAGTTGTAGCGGTAAATAAATCCCCAAAATAAATAGCACTAAGTTTTCGACATTGGATGCTGACCATATGTTTTAGTGGACTCACCTAGCTGAAGGCGCTCGGTCAGGCATCCGCACCAGATCACGTGTGGTAACGCCGTGCTCAACATCAACCGCAATCGCTAGCCAGATTAGATCAGAGAATTCCGATATATTGGTCATCGCCAAATATACTCTTCCGATCTCCTCGACTCTATCTTTTGATTTCTCTGGGTGGGAACGAAATATATTAGGTGTTACTGGTAGAAGCGTTGTCAAACACTGAATACCTATGACATCAACATTGGTGAAACCGACGTGATCTGGTACACCTAATTGCAACTGTGAGTCTGTTCCTTTTTGGGATTTTTATATATCATTGCCTTATTTTTTTAACTTTTTTAAACATTGTGATTTTTTTTTCGTGTTTTTTCCTGGATATATATATTTTCCTCTTGTTCATTATCGTACTTCGTACTTCATCATGACTGAACAGACACCTAAAGTACTCAAGCTTAAGACTTTGTCCCCGCCTTCGTTTCAACTCATGCCTTTCTGGCCCGACAACATCGAAGCCTGGTTCTGCTACGCAGAAGCCGACTTCCCCGAGCACGGCGTGATCGACACACGTGCGCAATTCCTCGCAGTGGTCAAGGCACTACCGCGCGAATTCAACAGGTACGTAACACCTAGTATGTTTACTAGTGATGTTTCCGATCCTTACGAAATCTTGAAACGCTCGATTCTTAAACGAGGAGACCTAACCGATCGACAAAGGTTAGATCAACTCTTCAACAATATCGACCTGCAACATGGTTCTGCGACAGACATGTTGCAACGGATGAGAGAGGTAATAGGCCCAAGAACTTTCGACGAAGGTCTATTAAAACAACTCTTCTTGTCAAAACTTCCCCAACAGGTGCAAGCAGTTCTGGTCTCGTTCCAGAACAACGCCTTAGACGAGCTAGCTGCATCTGCCGACCGCATATTAGAAATTACGAAACTTTCTACTACCGAGGTATTTTCAGTCAAAGAAAAACCTCAAACGACTCAGAATGATATAAACGACTTATGTCACATACTCACGCGTTATCTTAGCCTTCGTACCGACCGTAAGAGATCGCGCACACCACGTAGAAGCATTTCTCGTAAGCGATCTGTCTCTAGACCACGAGAGACAGATAACCCCGACTGGTGCTGGTATCATAGCCAGTATGGAAAGCTTTCCAGAAATTGCAGAAAACCCTGCAATTTTCCCAACACGAAACCGACTGATTCGAAAAGCAATTCGGGAAACTTCCAAGCCGGCACGCGTTAACGGCAACCGTAGCCGGCGAACAAAGCCGTCTGTTATTCGTCACAGATGTGACAACGAGAGTTCGTTACCTCGTCGACACTGGCGCAGAAGTTAGCGTTCTCCCAGCAAATCCTAACGACCGACTACACGAATCGACCCTAAACTTACAGGCGGCAAACGGAAAACCGATCGCTACGTATGGCAAAAGGTACGTTTACCTTAACGTGGGTTTACGCAAACCCATCCACTGGATTTTCGTTGTTGCAGATGTTTCTATGCCAATCATTGGTATGGACCTTCTACAACACCACAATCTGATCATCGACACTCGCAAACGGAGGCTAGTAGACGGAAACACTAATTTGTCCGTTTGCGTAACTTCTTTTACTGGTTGCAGAGTATCCCCAGTCACAGTTAAACATATGATAGACCCACTCTATCAACCACTACTCGATAAGTACCCTGGGATACAACAAACTCAACCGAAACTACCGTGTGTAACCAGCAATGTTACACATCACATCACGACTACAGGACCACCTGTATTCTCTAAAGCACGACGACTAGCTCCGGAAAAGCTAAGGTTAGCGAAAAACGAATTCGATCACATGATGGACTTAGGAATCATACGACCGTCAAGTAGCCCATATGCATCTCCGTTGCACATGGTCCCTAAAAAGGACAGCAACGATTGGCGTCCAACTGGTGACTATCGGCGATTGAACGCGAAAACCATTCCCGATCGTTACCCGTTGCCTCACATTCACGATTTGACAGCTACCTTGAAAGGTACAACTGTCTTTTCGAAAATCGACTTGGTTAAAGCGTATAACCAAATCCCTATGGCTACTGGCGACATACAGAAAACAGCTATCATAACTCCCTTTGGACTCTATGAATTTTTGCGAATGCCTTTCGGTCTAAGAAATGCTGCTCAAACATTCCAAAGATTCATAGATGACGTTTTTCGAGGTCTCAACTTCGTACACGCGTATGTTGACGACTGTCTAATCGCAAGTCCGGACAGAGAAACACATCTCAAGCATCTGGATCTTGTTTTTGAACGACTTCAAAAACATGGCATAACTGTAAACGTTCAGAAATGCCAATTCGGAACCGACTCGTTAGACTTCCTAGGACACACTATCGATGCTCAAGGCATTCGACCTCTTAGGACCAAAGTGGCGGCCATTCTGGATTACCCAGAACCGACCACTGTCAAGCAATTACGCACGTTTAACGGCCTGGTAAGTTTCTATAGACGTTTCATACCGAAATGCGCATTACTTATGAAACCTCTGACCGACCAACTTCGTGGAAATGCGAAATCCATTAATTTGGACGACACCGCACGAAAAGCATTCTCCACAGTTAAGGAACTGATTGCTAAAGCAACAATGCTCGCACATCAGGACACCCGAGCACCCATTAGCATCGCAGTAGACGCATCCGACTCGGCAATCGGAGGAGTCTTACAACAATGGGTTAACAACTCCTGGCAACCCTTGGCATTTTTCTCTAGAAGGTTGCTAGACACCGAATCGAGGTACAGCACATTCGGTAGGGAACTCCTAGCTATGTATTGTGCTGTACGGCATTTCCAACACTACATCGAAGGCCGTGAATTCACTCTTTTCACGGACCATAAACCGCTCACTTTCTCGTTAAGCTCTCCTTCTGACAAGTACTCTCCACGTGAGTCTCGACAACTGGACTACATTTTGCAGTTTACTTCAGACATTCAACACATCTCTGGAGCAAGCAATGTAGTTGCAGACGCTTTATCTCGCATAACTTCCTTGAACAGTTTCCAAGGAATCGACCTTCTTAAACTCGCCGAGCTTCAAAAAGAAGACAGTGATCTTCAGCACGAGTTATCGTCCACAACACTTAAACTACGCATCAAACAGATGGGAACAGGTAAGGAAACCTTACTTTGTGACACATCTACAGGTAGGGATCGCCCAATCGTGCCGAAACATTATCGACGCAATGTCTTCAACACATTGCACAAACTTTCGCATCCAGGTGTTCGTGCAACCATCAAGC